TATACAGGGTAACTCACAAGGTTTGTTAATCTGTGCTCACGGTCGATGGTACGTTAGACGTTTATGGAGAACAGGACATAGGATCATTCTGAAATTTTGGTTACTCAGTACTCACGTAGTTGCTCTTGGTCTATCGATCTAAAATATTTTCAGCTCTGCGGCGTTGCCGTTATTTCTATCGAAAAGTAGCAACAACTTTGTTATTTTATATGGAACACCCTGTATTTTATTGCATTTTCAGATTCTCTCTGAAGAGCTGATTTCATCACTTGGGGTCTAGCGGAAATGATTACAGAGATATAGGGTGTGAAAAATCGACATTTTTCAACTTTAGGAATTTTTTTTGTCGAAACTATTCATAATTGGTCAAAACGGCTCACATGTCCCTATCTCAACTTTTGATCAACTATCTACTGACATTTAATTGAAACAAATACAGGGTGGTGCAGAATTCAGAATCTTGATCACCCGGTATATATGTCCCAATTAAATATCAGTAGATAGTTAATCAAAAGTTGAGATAGGGGCATGTAAGCCGTTTTGACCAATAATGACTAGTTTCGACAAAAAGAATTCCAAAAGTTGAAAAATGACGATTTTTCACACCCTATATCTCTGTAATCATTTCCGCTAGACCCCAAGTGTGATACATCGATGAAATCAGCTACTCAAAGGAAATCTGAAAATGCAATAAAATACAGGGTGTTCCATTTGAAATAACAAAGTTGTTGCTACTTTTCGATAGAAGCGGCAACGCCGCAGAGCTGAAAATATTATAGATCGATAGACCAAGAGCAATTACGTGAGTAACCAAAATTTCAGAATGATCCTATATGTCCCGTTCTCCATAAACGTCTAACGTACCATCGACCGTGAGTTACCCTGTATAGGTCATACTTATTTCACAATTCACATCAAGAATGTTAGTTTTGATCGTTTGATTCAAAGATCTTTTATTGTTTGATCTCGAATGAATCATGATTAAGATTACAGTAAATAATCTAAGGTTCAGCCAATAAATAATAAGGATGATAAAATATAAAATACAGGTAGGTATAGATAAAATATATACATACAGGTAGGTATATTTATAAATATTAGATTACCTCTATCTCTATACCTATTCAAAATTAATACCGTATTGGCCAGATAAGGAAAATTATTTTTATCTTTGTGATCTAATATAATATCAACCTTGCATTTGTTATCCTTAAAGGTAAAGTTTTTTTTTCTTTGAAAAAATATAAGTTTTCAAAAAAACATCAAGTGCGAAAACTTGTCCCGCTTCATAATTTTGTGGAGCAGGTCAACAGTTTTAGTATAAATCTCACCCCAAATAATACATCTATGGTGTCTATACTAGATTACTTAAAAAATGGCAATGGAAGGGAGTCATGGTTTTCTGTTTTCTAACTGGTATAGGTAACAATAAAAATTGTACTTTATTGAACAATGTTCAAATGGCTATATCAATAGTGTCGACTGAGGTGTCGACCGAAGTCCCCTTCTGCCATTATTTATAACTGATTTTTTCCTCAAAGTTCAGGATAGTCTCATAATGAAACAGATTTTATTTAATTCAAGTTTTTTTCTCTAATACCTATAATTATTAATGTGAACTTATTTTTGTTTCAGACAATCATGTCCCTGGAAGAGGTATGTGAAATTCTCACTATTTATTATTATCTAGCAATCTTTTGTTGCACGTTGCACTAATTTTTCACCTACTCAAATAGAATAAACAGCTACATATAGTTATATCGAGAGTTATATACCTATACTTACATACGTTAGATAGTAGGATAAATACCTATATGGAGGATGCAGAATAAGTGCCTCGAAAGATCTAACTATTCTCAGGAGCAACTAGTCTAACATGAAAAGTTAGGATTCACATTTGTTCCATAGCTGAATTGAAAAATTAGGCTGCTCAAAATATAAACAATTTTTCTACAACAATTTAAGAGTAAAATAAATCGCACGAACTGGAATCCATATTATATTTAGCAAACTTAAATATATCTAATTATTTTCTTTCTAATGGGTACGTAGACAAAACAGTGAATACAGTGTATCATTTCTACTTTTAAAAATTGCGAACTGTGGAATCTTTCCTAATCTTATTAAAAAAGGCACTACTGTACCTACTCCATCATTGCATTCCATAGTTGACTGAACCTGAACGATATTATCTGTTATTCTTAAAATACAATCCTGACCTCGACCTATAAATAATCGAAAAACAATATCGATTTCTGCCTTGTGTCCCCCTCCCTGATGCCGCCGTTTCGGAAATATTGTTGGAATAAAGAGTACGTATATCACTTCCGATAAAAAAATGTTGATTTAAACTTATTTCCATAATAAAGAAGAATTGATGAAATATTCACATCGAATAATAATGTTGAATGTGAATAGGTTTTACATAACGCATAGATTAATAAAATGGTCTTTTTAATCTATGCATAACGTTAACCTTCAATATCTCTGATTATTAATCACTCAATTAGTTTTAATTCTGAAGTAGTAAAAACGAAATTTTATTATTATGAACATAACAATATCGTCTGCTTCTCATCAATAATATGATGGTATCCTCATAATATAAGTAGGTACCCCTATCTCTTTTTTTTTCACAGAGATTTCAAAAAGCTGCCGAGGATGTTAAGAACTTGAAGACTAAACCTTCTGATCAGGATTTACTTGAAATCTATGGTCTATTCAAACAAGGAAGTATAGGAGATGTGAATACAGGTTAGTGAATACTCACTTATACTGATTGTATTTGTGTAAGAAAGGTAATACCTCCAAACAAAAACTGGTATGATTGAATAAGGGTATATATCTCAACATTAAAATATTTTATTTATTGTGTTAGGCATCTACATTTCTCCTTGAATATTATTGAATAGGATTTTAGCTAAGAAAAGTTCGAGCTTCAAGTTTTGATATGGATGATAATAATAATAATGAAAGTGACGGCCCGACGACCGCTCACTAATTTTGCCTTCGAGAAAGGTTTCACAGTGCAATAATATTTCGTTCGGGGTACAACTGATATAACCTACTAAAATGATCCTACTAATTAGACTAATGCTATTAGCCAAAAGTCAAAAGCTCATTTAGGACCTTAGACGATTTAGGCGAGGATTTAGGGCTCTCGCTTCATTCTCGCTTAGCTCGTAGAGTGTATAATCTCTGGCTCGTATATGCACTGCTAGTAGTAATAGTAAACACCGAAACACACCAACATTGTAAAGGATAGAAAATAGAAGTGTAAGGATGATATCAATAAAATTCGAAACATATCAAGAAAATATTTGTTTTCGAAATTGAGTACGGGACCTTTTCTTTTTTCCTGTTTGCAACATTATATGGTTTTTTTTGAGCATCATTGAGTGTTCGCCTTCATTTTTAATTAAAACCCGTTATAGGATATTATGATGAGACATCGGCATCTGATTTAAAATTTTGTTTCACCTCCATTAACTTCTAAATACGAAGATGGACTTTTATAAGTCCTTGATTGATTTACATCAATAATAAAGTAGTACGGAGATGACTTTGAGCTTTCCTTCTTCCTTTTGTACACTAGAAAGTTTTATGAAGTTTTTTAGTCCCCAAAATTTCCATCGTTTGACACTTTCTCAACAGCTGAATGAATCCTTTGCGTCGACTTCTTGAGTTTGGTTTCCCGCTCCCTGATTTCGTCCACTTGCCTTGAAACCCTCGAATGAGACAACCTCATGTATCAGTGTGTCTTGTGCCAACTATTTTTTAGCATATTTTCTCTCAACTTTTTGGCTGCCGGAAGAAAAGTTGTCGCCGAGGCCGTTTCCGGCCGAGGCAATATAATCTTGAGGTCGCCAAAAAATTACGCGGCCATGGTATACTCACTATTCTTCGTGAAATCGTCAAAATTATTGAACTAAATAACTGAAATGACATTTTGAATGAATACAAAATATTCTGACAGTTCTTGACAAAATGAAAAATTTGATCTGACAATGAATAACCTTGCTATTGTCGTTGATTTGGAATATCAAATTAGGAAGTGACGTTTTGGTTTGGCGGCCGTCGCCATTGTTAACGGCTGCGAAGTTGTACTTCGCGTACTGTATAGAGAAAGCGTACGATTGCACGAAAATGTTATTTTTTTATTTTTTGTGGGTTAGGGTGTTTAGTTAGATTGCCGCTTTCTCACACTGAAGTATTCAAATTACTCCTGGATTGTTCCTGATGAGTACACTGATTCAGTAAAACAAGGGAAATCCCTTATGTTTGTACCCACAGATAGGTTGGTGTGTTCAAGATTCAATTGTATGTATTTCTGGATATGCATGGAACATATAATCAGTCCTTGATACTTATTTAGCGTTCACAAAAAGTTGCGTGGATCTCAGGTCTCCTTTTCTGAAAATATTATCTCATAGAAAATTTCCACTCGCAGAATTGGTCTAATCTTATCATTCCTGGAATCATATAGCAAACACTTGTTTTTATAAATAATATTGTTTACCTACAGAATATTATCTATATTAATTTTTAACAGTAAAGCCAAAAATATTGTGTAACATTTCCTCTGTTCATGTCATTATGATTTAATAACAACTTCATAAATTCATTAAATATATATTTTTTCAGCTCGTCCTGGCTTGTTAGACTTGAAAGGAAAAGCCAAATGGGATGCATGGAACGGCAGAAAAGGCTTGAGTCAGGACCAAGCAAAAGAACAGTATATTGCGAAAGTTCAATCACTCGTTGACTCAATAGGATTGAACTGATAATTTTTTACTCAGTGGAAACCGTTACATCACCCAAAAATTATTAGTTTTTGTTATTTATTTTTAATGGTGATATTTTTTTTATAATTGTACTTCAAGTGGAATGGAACATATTTTCTGAATTAAATTATTTTTTAATCAGAAGTTTATTGTGTTTATCTGTGGAGGAAGGGAAGATATTTCATATTTTATGAAATATAATAATCAAAAGTGTGTAGGTGATTACTTTATATTGCTTCAAAGCACAAATTTGTTTGTCAAAAACGACCTGTCACCTCAGGTAGGTATACATATATTTTCCATGTAACATATAAATGTCCCATTTTCTATCTGGAATGTTACTAGAGCCAGAAAATATGTCCTCATATTTTTTTGAGCATTACTATTTAAGTTTGAACGATTTTTCTTCTGATATATCCAAGGAAGATCATTTCACAATGGAAATACATGCATCTAAATGTCACTATATATATAACAATGAAGATATACTCAATATATTTTGATTCCATAAAACCCCTAATTATTTACACTAACAAGGTGAACCATATCCTCATGAGAGCAATGAAGCCAGAAATTCTATTCAGTTCCTAGGTAGTACTTTTTAATTGTTGAGTAGCGAAAGGTAATGGCAAATATATTCGAAATTTAATTTTAGATATTGAAAAGGAATATTCTCAGATATAATTATGAACATAAAAAAATGGTTAAGTATATACAGTGTGTCCCAACTTACCATGCTCTCCATGGGTATCTTTTTAACGGTGAGAGATACGAGGTCGGTTAAATGACACCAAATGTGGAGTTTGTCAAGGCCAACTATAATGTGAAAAAATATTTTGATAAAATCTATTCGTTTCTGTTTTATACGCAAAAAACAGATTATGATCATTTTCATGTCTCCTCCGTAACTTCTTCATTTTTGAAGATATTCAAATAGGAATTTCACATTCTCATGGCAGTTTTGGCAGAAGTGATTTCGAAAAAAATAAGAAATTTACACCAACTCTTCTAGAATTTGAGATATCAGCACCAACTTTAGTTTTTCAAATGTAGGTCATAGCTCACTATGACTTAGTTACAAATAACTTTTTTTTCTCTTACAGATGATATGTCGCAGTAATAATTTTGTGTTGATAACAACGGAGTTATCGTCATTTACACAAAAACAAAAAATTATTTGGAAGCCGCCATCTTGAATTTATAAATTTTAACAAAAAAAATCATGATCTCCGACCTCAAAAACCCCCACTTACCAATTTTGAATGGAATCGAACCAAATCTTGTCCGCCATCTTGGAGCAGCCATTTTTTTTTAATTTCAACAAAAATTCCATAACTCCGATCAGCTTGAAATTTGGCAGGTGTTCATAATTTCGGTGATAATACAGTATGGAATTTTTGGCTTGATTAAAATATGTGTACTTATTCAAAAACCTCCTTGAGCATACCAAAGTAAGTGTTTTTCCTGCTTCAATGAAGTGAATATCCCTAGATATATAGTTAGGCAACTTGCAGATAGAAGTAGAAGAAGATACCGAGAGTATAGACAAATTGGCCATATATTGCTAGGAGTCGCTCACGAACCAGTCAAGAAAAAACTAAGGCCAAATATGGATTCAACGTTTTACACGGAGGTGGATCGTTGATCATATTATTAGTGCAGATAATCAAGGATTTGACCTATACTGGAATTTTAGACAATCAAATGGGAAACATCTTGAGTGAACGCTGGTAAATATCTAGGAACCGGCTGGACTCCAACCTCGTCCATTCTTCTTTGCCTGATGTCTGCATCGCCAGGCCAAGTTCTTTCCGCCCCGTACATCTGGCCAATCCGCTGGAATTTATCGAAAACGTGCGATATCGTCACAGCCTCGTTCACCCCGTTGGACTTGATTCTGCGTTGAGCTGCCGACGATGTACGCAAACTTTTTCTTTTCTGAAATGGAAAATTATTAGAACGAGAAAAATTCGCGCCAAAACTTGGAAAAAATACTCTCACACAAATATTTTTTTCTTATTTTCGGCTAATATACAGGGTGTTCCTTAATAATATTCAAGGGGCCGATTCTTCGACCCATTTCAAGAATAAAACTTCATATGAACGTATGTCGTAAACGTCCTAACTGAGATACAGGGTGTCAATGTTGAAAATATGCATAGATTATTTTTTTGTCCACCCTGTATAGCTTGTCTTGATGGCAAAATTGAGTCTGCTATGTGACTGAACCGGTATTCGAATTTCAAAATGTTACATACTGTGGTTATTCAGTAATGGATGTACTGAACGTTTTCCCGTTTTTTCTCGAAAACGAAGCGTTCTATCGAGTAGCAACAGGACGATCTTTTTTGTACATAATTAAATAGCCTTTGATAGCATAGTATGATATTTGAAATTTTTTTGTCGTAGCTCACTTTTAAGTAAAATATAAACAATAATATTCCCGTATCGGTATCACAGGTAGAGAAAATCAGAATTTTTGCACATCAGAAAATGCACCTTGATGCATAAAAGACGTGTACCAAATTTTATTGAGATGTATACAATGTTGTCTCAGTTATTATAAAAAAACTGAATATTTTTCAAAAGTTCATCACCCTGTATCTCAAAAGTTAAGACTTTCAGGACATACGTTCATAAAGAAGTTTTCTTCTTGAAATGAGTTGAAGAATCGCCCCTTGAAATACTAGCATGTCTTTAAGGAACACACCCTGTATACAGAGTCGATGATATGTATGGAAACATGTGAATATCTTATTGGTAACCTGTTGTTAGATTTTCTTGAATTTATGTACAGTGTGATTTCAAAACGTGGCGGATTTGAAAATGTTATAGTCAATATTGCCAGTACAGTACAGTATAGGGTGTTCCATTCAATATCTGAAAAAACTGGCAACATTGGCTATAAAACATTTTCAATTCCACCACGTTTTGAAATCACACAGTACATAAATCTAAAAAAATCCAACAGAGGTTACCGTGATATCCACCTGTTTCCATACATATCAGCGACCCTGTATATATATCCCATTAGTGATGATAACTCTTTTTTTAACATCCCATATCTGGACTTTGACTACAGGAGGCTGACATATGTCACTTTTAACGGCTCCAACTCATTTATGTCTCAGCAATTAGTCGTGGGATTCGTACTTAATTTCATCAATGTGATCAGTTTTTCCGAGACGAATATCCTCTTGGATAATGCCGTGCGTTTTTATTGAAATTAAAAGGGGTCGATTTTTTATGAAAACATTAGGATTTTTTGCAGGAATACCAACTTCATATTATTGTTCCCCATGCTTTCGAATCTCCGTATGCAAAAAATCACCTCAATCCGAGTTAAAGAGGACTGGGCTTAATTCTTATCATTTTCTGCTGCCTAGCAAAAATAGTGAATTCCATAAAATCATAATTTGAAAGAATAAAACAAGATACTTTTTTTTTGAATCCACCGTTTCCGAGTAAATGACTATTGAAGTTCGCGAAAATGCTGCTTAGATGTGCCTGTATTTTTTAACCCTCTTTAGAAATCATATAATAATTCACAAATGAGAGTTTGAAACCATGAAGAACAATGTTATGACATCAGAGTTTTTCTGCAATAAAATTCCTAATTTCACAATAACCTGACATCATTACATTTCAATAAAAACGCACGGTACCTATAATGTACAAAATCATGTTCGTCTATGAAGAACTGATCATATGGACTAATAGCTGAGATAGGGGGCCGTTTAAAGTGAAACACGCTGTATATTGGACAAGGTTCCATCATATTTTTCCATTGTTCAGCGGATAGGTACAAAAATACCATTCATATCCCGAAAGATTATTGTTATAGTTCCAAACAATGAATTGTACATCATTGAAGTTGTTGCCGACGAAGGTGTCTTGAAAGGAAAGAAAACTTCACATATCTCCTATGTCTGAGTGTAACAAGTTGATGGTCATGCCAAAAAACCTGTTGACGTTCACAGGATCCATCATATCATTCCTATTTGATTAGTTGAACTTATCAAATTATACGAACGCTCTGTTACTCATTTGAACAATAAAAATTATGGTGCTATAGAGGAACATAATTTATCGCTGGAAAGTCAAAGGGGCGTAACTCGTTTTTGTTCATTAAAGAAAATGACAATGTTAAAATGTATTCCCAATATCGCCGTTTCCATAAAAGTTGATGGCCTCATAGTTTATTTGTGTATTAAATCATATAGTTCGTAATTGATATTGCACTCTCACTGTAATTTGTGAAATTATGTAATTATTTAACTTTCAAAGAGTTATTACGTCCTGATTATGAAGATGTTAAAATCAATGTGTTGATCAATTCAAATCATCAATTTTCAGAACAAAATTTATTAGTAAATAGAACAAGTTCGTTTTCAAACTGGTTCATCAAGTAGTTCCACAAGGTTCGATACTGGGGCCTCTCTCTTTTATAATGTACATCTCTTACCTCCACAGCTCCTCTCCATTTATCCGCGGCGTGTCTGGCCAATTCCATCCGTTTTTGCTTCTTGATCTGGTGTTTTTTGTAAGCCATTTCGATGACTATCAGTCCGATGCCTCCGACTATACCAGCGCCAACTAGTATGAAAACGCCCGCCATATTTTTCAGTCCTAGAGTGTTCGGCGTCTTTTCGAATTGTTCGCACTGTTGAAAGTTTCCTTGGAGAATCCATTTATTGTCTAGACTTTCCATGAATCCGCCTAAGAAAATTCAGAAAAGCAAACACTCATTTCCGATGTTTCATTGAAATTGGCTTACTTTCATGGAAATCTAGGATGGCCAAGGTGACATCATCAGACCAAGGTGAACCTTTTTGTAACCCAATGCCGTACCCTGATCGTCCGAAGAGTTCCCCAGCTGTTACCAATTCGCAATCCTGGGCTGCCTCAAATTCCAAACGAGAGCTGTCCCAAATAAAAGCCATCAATTTTCTGAAATTTCAATGGAAACACCGATTAGAAAAATCTCCTATTCGCGTTCGCAGAAATATTGAACTTTTTGTCAAACTATATAGAGGGTTCATATAGTAATAATACTTTTCAAGTCGTCTCCACAATATCTCCATTAAAATACGGTGTACCGGATTAACTTGAAAGGGTTGCTAGCAAATACATTTATATCATTGCCTACTACGAAAACAAATTCAACAGTGGTGAACTATTGAGGTCTAGTTGATCGAAGTAAAATGTTAGAGTTTTTGAATTTGTTGATTTCTAATGCTTCAAAATGATTGAGTTTTATTTCTTTATTTCCTACCTGTAGAATTTCGAAATTATCTTCGAAACAAATGGTATTCTTCTAATATATGGTTGGCGTATGTTGAATTTCATGTTCATGAATGCGCTGATTAAACGTACGACCTGTCTGACCGATATTATACCTTAGGACAAGATCCACAGTTGAGTTTGTATACCCCTCGTGTGATTGAGAATTTTGTGGAAATCTTATCGTTTGTGAAGTTTTTACATTTGCCATGGATTTCCATCAAGTAACGGCCGAGTCAAATCAAAACATTATTTTCGCTCACTCTAGCCCTTTCATTTACGACATGACCTTTCCGGACACCCTGTATAGAGTGTAATTGATGGTATTTTGGGAAAGTATAGGTAATCATGCATTTTATAATATAATAAAGGGTGAGTCATTAGTGTGGCAACGTGAGATATCTGCTTTACTATTTGAGATAGATGAATAAAAATTTCAGATATGATCTAGGATCATGAGCAGCACATATCCAAATCATTTTGCTTCATACAGGGTAACTCAGAAATGCGTGGCGTATTAAAGTTATAATTTTTCTTTTGGGACACCCTGTATTTCATTGTATTTTTGCATTCTCCTTTGTGAGCTGATTTCATCATTGCATCACACTTGGGATCTAGCGAGAATGATTACAGAGATATAAGGTGTTCAAAATCCAGATTTTTCAACATTAGGATTTTTTTGCGTCGAAACTATTCATTATTGGTCAAAACGGCTTTTATGTCCCTATACCAACTTCTGATTTACTATCTACTGATATTTAATTGGAACAGATGAAAGAGTGATCAGAATGCTGAATCTTGAACCACCCTGTATTTGTTCCAATTAAATGTCAGCAGATAGTAAATCAAAAGTTGTGATAGGGACATGAAAGCCGTTTTGACCAATAATGAATAGTTTCGACGCAAAAAAATCCTAAAGTTTTGAACACCCTATATCTGTGATCATTCTCGCTAGACCCCAAGTGTGATGCATTGATAAAATCAGTTCACAAAGGAGAATCCGAAAATGCAATGAAATACAGGGTGTCCCATAAGAAAAAGTATAACTTTGATATGCCACGCATTTCTGAGTCACCCTGTATAAAGCGAAATAATTTGCGAAGTGCTGCTCATGATCCTAGATCATCTCTGGAACTTTTATTCATCTATCTCAAATAGTAAAGCCGTTATCTCACTTTGCCACACTAATGACTCACCCTGTATATACCATCATTTGCCTACCATGATGTAAAATGCGGTACAAACTTTTTTCTGGTTATTATCCAGAGAATGACCGGTTATTATCTCTTGAAGTTATTTTTTATGATATTTGCATAGTAACAGAGTGTGGTGTTCAGCTATAATTATACACCTTCAATAATAAAAAACTGACCTTCTCATATTTGAATACATCATACAAATATCAACCATAAAAGTTGAAAATAACGAAATTATTGAACACAAAGATTGCAATAATAATTAATAATAACATCGAACAAGAGAAAAAACGGGCGGCTAGGTCAAGGTCACTGTTTCTGTCAGAGGACGTCATTAGATCAATTTTGATATTTCGTGAGTTTATCCTGGTTTGCTACAATAAGAAGAAAGCTTCTTTTTATTTCGATTTGACATTATGTACAGGTACTTCATTCAGTTTCGCGTTCTTATATCGTTCACCCTGTATACCTATACCCAAAAGTAGGTGTAAAGTACATTCGTTATCATACCATGTTCAGTAACAATCTTTTCAATAATGAACAATTAAATGATTATTCACACTTGTTTTAAATGAGAAACCGATTTGGAACAATAGTTCTGCTATCATTACAACATTTTCATCTTGTTTTCCTAATGTATTATCAGCAAACAAAGTGCTTTTATAACATGTATTGAACATTAGTATATTGTATAGAGATAACATAAGGTGATAATGTCAAATTATATTTTTGGGAATGCTCACTTACCTACTTAAAACATTGGAGTATGATTAGCATATACAGATTGTCCCAGAATAACATCCTTTTACTGATAAAAATTTTGGTGACGCCATGACAATGAAACTTTCATACAATTGATGATAATAATATGTAATTATGGATGCTTTGAACCTTTTCTCTAGTTATCTCAGCGGCCGAAAACACGTTGTCAAAATTGATAATATTTACAGTGATGAGGAATCTGTACCTTTCGGAGTCCCACAAGGCACCGTTCTTGGTCCAATTCTATTTTTTATTTACTTGAATGATCTACTTAAACTAAGTACTGCAGGCGATGACGTGAATTAAAAGAAGTTGAATTTTCCTGCTCAAAAATGAGAAAATTAAAAACAATCAGGTGAGGCTATCAAAATTCACCTGTGTTTGACGTCATTGATAGCTGACTCGGCAGTATCATAATTATTCGCTTCCATCGTTCGATACATGTTCGAGAGCTCCACTTGCCTCTTGAAGTACATGTCAACGGCAGATCCTTTCACAGTTGCACAAGTCAAGTTCTCCATGGTATTACGAAGCTAAAAGAATGAAGTATTCATAAAAGCTGCCCATTTCTTTCAAAAGATGAACTTTTATTGGATATTTACTCTTGCGTCATTTATGCCAGTCAATTTTGTTTTTGGTCTTTCCAGCACAAGGAAAGCTGCCAGGTTAGCTGTGTAGGAGGCTACAATTATCATCGCGAAACCTGCCCAGACCATACCTAAGACTCTGGCTGAAAAACTTCTTGGAGTACCTATAATGACATAATTGCATTTCGATAAGGACCATTGCGCTTAAAACTTGACTTTCAAAAGATATACTTGAATAGGTCAACATTCCAAACGTAAAATCAGGAATTTTCGATCCAATTCTTTTCCACAAATGATTTCCAATGATTTCTCTCCAGTTCCTCAAATCTCGTTTCATTAGTTAAGCGTGATTTATTGAAGCGCCTACAGGGTGAAACATAATACTGTACAATACTTATTTCGAAATATTATAAGGGATCCCGTTGAAGTATTGCGAAATCAATTGGTCACCAAGACGTAATAAGGTAATATGAGGAAGGAAAATACCATTTCTGTATGAAAAAGGATACTACTATAGACATAACTCTGACTAAAGTAACCTTTTTCCTAAAGATTATATTTCTCTAAGAATTACTAGTGAAAAAAAAAATTTAAAAAAGTTGACGCCTGCAGGGTTTGAACCCCAGCCACCAACGTGGTAGTGAGATACATAGTCCACCGAGCGATCGGGTTACTCGAAAGTTTTCATTATGAAGACAGAAGAAATCGACCGTAAAATTTTCAATAAACATGAAATTAAAAGATACCTATTTCAGTGATGATTCTATTTAAGAAATAAAAAAAAAATAGTCCACAATAAAATACGAAAAATGTCTGTCCCAATGACAGGTACACTCGTCCTCAGTGAACATGTCGTGATTGGACGGTATGAGCGCTCTTATTACAGCGGTGATTAAGAGAGCTGACACCGTCCATGTGCAACATGTTCTCTGAAGACGACTGTACCTACTATATACTCTTTGAACATTTTGAAATATTGCTTGCCAATAGAATTGATAAGCAATATAAGCATTCAATGAGCGGAAAAAAATTGAAGATCGAGAATTCTAGATTTTTCGTTTAGATGGTCAGATGATCTATACAGGGTGGCCCACGGTCGATGGTACCTTAGACGTATACGGAAAACGGTACATTGGATTTTCCTGAAAATTTGGTTACTCTAATAAGCGTTTGTGATCTAACGATTCAAAATATTTTCAGCGAAGCAGCGTTGCCACTTTTACCAAAAAGTAGCATCATCTTTGTTATTTCAAATAGAACACCCTGTATTTTATTGCGTTTTTTTTTACAGAGATATAGGGTGTTCAAAATCGAGATTTTTCAACTTTAGGATTTTTTTGTGTCGAAACTATTCATCATTGGTCAAAACGGCTTACATGTCCCTGTATTAACTTTTGATTAACTATCTACCGACATTTAATTGGAAAAAATACAGGATGGTCCAAGATTCAGAATTTTGATCACCCTGTATCTGTTCCAATTAAATGTTAGTAGATAGTGAATCAAAAGTTAAGACAGGGACATGTAAGCCGTTTTGATCGATAATGAATAGTTTCGACACAAAAAATCTTGATTTTGAACACCCTATATCTCTGTAATAATTCCTGCTAGACCCCAAGTGTGATACATTGATGAAATGAGCTCTTCGAGAAGAATCTAAAATCGCAATGAAATACAGGGTGTTCCATTTGAAATAACAAAGATGATGCTACTTTTTGGCAAAAGTGGCAACGCTGCATCGCTGAAAATATTTTGAATCGTTAGATCACAAACGCTTATTAGAGTAACCAAATTTTCAGGATAATCCAATGTACCTTTTTCCGTACACGTCTAAGGTACCATCGACCGTGGGCCACCCTGTATACCTTCTCCAATGCCACTGTTCAAGAGAACACCCCAAGCGAACCAGATCGCGCTAGACAGATTCAAAGCATCTTCTTCTGTCCCATCAGTATTGGCCAACTTGAATCTCCCGAAGGGAGAGAAGCGATCTAGCAAGTATAGTACCAAAGCTACCACGTGCACAGAAACCATAACCAGTATCCACAAAGTGTTGCTGAACGGTTGCAAGAAGGATACCAGCGTAGAAGATCTAGAAGGCTGTAAAAGTTAGCGATATTGATTAAGTTTGCGGGCTTCGGGAATGGACAACACTGTTGAAAATGACTAGTGAAGTGATTTTCTATGTTTTTTATCACGCTTTTATTAGCTTAGTATGTATGTTTGTATTTTTGTAACGGAAATGTCGATGGTGATTTCTAATCCACTTCAATACGTTGATGACAATAGCGTAATTCAATTATTATAGTCCGCAGGATCATCAGGATAAGCGATTTTTTTCGAATAAAATGGCGAATGATGGTCTTCCACCAAAATTACAAATGTTCCGACACCAAAAATTCAAAATGTTCCTCCACCAAAAAATCGAATCATCGTTTTTATTCCTTTGAACAACTTTTTTTATCCAAAAATACGCTAGTGTCTTGCATCAAGTACCTAATCGTAAGACTAAATATATCCACAGCGACGGGTGATATTGGATCTTCAGGAGGAGCAATTTTTTTACATCCAGAAACACATCAGTGTCTTGCACCTAGTACTCGTGTGAAATAAAGTTTCGGAAAAGGAAACCTGATAAACGGTTACAACATACAAGGAAAGCAACAGGCGCGGAAATTTCCAGCTTTTTGGGCGTGGCGGTTTTTGGTTAGCAGAATCAAATATAGAGAAGAATGTACAAAAAATTCAAAAAAGTGTGGTACCAATATATTTAAAATGGGCGAGTGGACTGAAATTGAATTATTGACATTTAATTACTCCACTGTGTCGTTAGGGACCTAAATTAATTTTTACAGCACCTTTCACACTTTTTTTATGTAAATTATGAGTCTATACATATTTCGAAATTGTTGAATTTCAGAGCTCATTTCAAACGTACCGTCCTGGCCGCCATTTGGCGATACGTCGAATAAATGGTGACGTTATAGTTTTTATGCTGTTTCGTTATTGGTCAGATAATCTTGCATTCCCACTCATGAAGCAAGGTTGCCAAGTCACCAATTATAATCAAGTTGATGTTAGAGTCATGTCGTTGAATAAAACATAACAGCTAGGAGGAACCTATGATATTATAGTTGATTCTTGACTGTTTCGAGCAACCAGCATGTCCAAATATTTTTTTTCTGCAACCGACACAAAAGTCGTCCATTTTGATACCAAAATTAGCTCTTAAATTGACGTTTCTATTACTGACACAAAAATAGGTATGTTGCTAGGCAACATATTTAGTTCCTAGGAGCTAAAGTTGAATTTTAGTTCCTAGGAGCTAAAGTTGAACTTTAGCTCCTAAGAACTAAAAAGGATGTAGGTACTGGACGTCATCAAGAATAAACAACATTGTGACGGTTGGTTATTTGGGTTGAGACGCATACCTGATTTGTTTCCGATTTCAGCAGATTTGGCATTTCATACCCATGCTGGAGATATAAAATACACCTTATTATAGTTTAGTATTGGAATTATAAACATCTCAGTTAAGTATTTTTGTTTCGATCAGGGAAGCCTTCAAGATTCAAATACTTGCTTGATCTGTATTTCATTCGTTATTTTCGGGATGGATGACTTGTTTTTGAATAATCACGGCAAGCAATAGTTTTTTTGTCTCAAACAACGATATTGTTTAGCTTCATTTGATTATCAAGTCAAACACAGCGTAGTATGGAAAGGAAAAATAATCACGATTATCATTGTTGATATGCTCACTAACCTAACATTTTCCACGTCTTGTTCCTATATAGCTGGCACTGCCGCGGTATTTGTCATTAGAGCAGCTGGTCCATACACAAATATGTCACTCTGTGGTTGTATTTATATTGAAACTACAATTCGATCATCCTAGAAAACCTAACCTGCTGTTAATGCAGGTAGAATATTCTCACCACATGGATTATTTGTCAATATTTGTTGCATTGCACGGCATTGGTGGTTACTTCACATGTTTATTTGAGTTAATTGTTTCGGTTGCAGAAAAAATAACATGTTTCATTCGGATCAAAAGTGACTTTGTTCGACTCGCAAATTTTGCTTTCGCTCGGCTTCGCTAAGCGCTTCGCCTCGCAAATGCAAAATTCGCTTGTCAAACAAAGTGTCACTTTTTGATCCTAATAAAACAATCTACTATTATACTCCATAAAAAATAACATGTAAATGTATTATTGAAGACTCGGCAACATTGTGGTGATTGCGGACAACTGATGACAAGACTACTATTTTTTTTAAATGTATATTGCCCATAACTTCTTCTTGAGATGTTTAACTGTTTTGTCAACATATTATATGAAATCTTCAGGAAAAAATTAGAAGAATCTTGTACCCTGAAAAAAAATCATACGTGGAGGGCTGGAGGTTCTGTACCAAATTAATAGGTATGAGGCAAGAGGAGATTCAACTGTTCACGGGAGCTTACTTTCTTCTCCAATATCGTGATCCCTTGGTACTTGAATGGTTTGCTGAACTCGATGAACTCCGCCCTCTCCGGATTTATAGTCAAAGGGGCCACAATCATGTCAGCCCTTTCGCCCACCAATTCGCCTATCAGGCCTGTCCACTCCTTTCTGGTGCTGCCCGAATGGTTCCTGATGACGTAGTTACCGAACTGACCGTCAGGAGAGAGAGCCAGGCTGTACGTGAAGTTTATTTTTCTGGACAACTCTTTGAGGAGGTCCATGCAGTATCCTTTGCAGCAAAGGTTGTCCGTCACTAAAAGTGAGAACCGAGTCTTTGCAAGATCGCCTTAGACACCGAAATGGTTCACTACACACTGTTTTACCACTAACCAAACCGATTTTTTACACCTCGACACGTGTTTCGCTAACTATGTTAGCATCTTCAGGAGAAGATCAAAACTAAATGCTTTATATCCTATCCCCCACCGTGAATAGACAATAACCGGAAAGTTCAATCAATCAATCAACTTTATTATTCCCAAGAAACAACATTTGTTTATAGCAGGGAACATAGTGAATACATAAATGTATTTGACAAAATAAAATAAAGAAGACAGTAAAATAAGACTCACACTCAAAAAGATTATTTTTTTTCAAGTTAATGTTATTCATGGTTGAGTTCACATGTTATATTACTAAGCTATACAGAGGGCTGAATGGGATAGAACGTGATATATGAGGTTTTCAAAGACTTAGGTTTTGAAAGCGTTCATCAGTCTGAATCAAAGTTAGGCAATTTATTAGGTAATCCAAAAAATAAGGTGGACACACTTGAAAGGTCAGGAATATATGAAACTGGTTGTAATGATTGTGATAAAACATATATAGGCCAAACCAGGCGTCCCATAGAAACAAGGTTCAAAGAACACTTAGCACATTTGAAATATGGTAGGTTAGATAAATCGTGTGTAGCTGAACACATGTTCAATCACAATCATAACACACATATTAATAACCTCAAATTAGTTCAGCAAGTTGATAAGGTTCGAAAATTAGATGCATATTGACTCGGCGGTTATTGTCTATTCATGGTTGGTGGACATATATACTTAGAATGGGACAGGAGGTAGGTGTTGGATTTTTTTTGTAAATTCTGGAGGTTATGAAGTTCTTGGAAATTTTTCCATTGGATCATTAAAGTGCCTTTGAAGATTTTCCAGATAGAAAGGGTGAACATTGATGAAATGAAAAAATATTACATCCTTATCAACTCACAGTCACCAGACGTATTGAAATGAGGACATGGAATTTCCTCTGCAGTGCATCCTTCATTAGGTTCTAATATTTTCCTCACATAAACGAATGGTTTTTCCTCGATAGTCAAAACTTTCAGGTGAGTCGGAATCATGAATCCTTCAGGTTTTATACTCTGCCTTCCAGGCCAAATGATGCTTTTCTCGTCAACGGTCAAGTGCATTTTGTTAGTTTCCTGAAATATTTTTTTTCCATCGAAATAGTTGCGAGATCATTTTGACAATGATTAGACTTATTACAACAAGGGGATTTTGGTATTTTCCAGAAATATTTTTCTGTTAAAATGATTTGCGCCTTGATTGCAAAAGTATTCTCTCAATTAGGCTAGTTATACGATGAAAACTTTTGTTTTTCGTTGAAAATCACAATTATTGAAAGATTATTCTGCCAATTAAACCTGATTTAGGAAATAAATCTTGCAATTACACTAATTGCAAAATCTATATGTCAATTAAGCCATAATTGCATATTAAATCTCAACATTATAAATAGCTTAATCAGAATAATCTTGCAATTATGATTTTAATCGAGATTTTTTGCCTTGTTGCCCTAATTGCAAGGAATACCTTGTAATGAAACTAATTGCAAAATTGTTTTTCTACCAGCGGCAGTGAACGTGGCTTTTCTCGTACACTTAACAGGCAGGAAAGTTGTACTTCCACTGCCTAGGCAGAAAAAGTTGTACTTTCACTGTCTAGGCAGAAAAAGTTGTACTTTCACTGCCTAGGCAGAAAAAGTTGTATTTTCACTGCCTAGGCAGAAAAAGTGTGTTGCTAAGCAACGTTCCAAGTAATTTGAATGAAATTGGTACATAATCAAAATTGACACTGACATTGGGTGAACACAAAATGGTGGAGTTTTTAATAAAAAGATTACACAAAATTGGTTTTATCACATTTGGAGAAAAAATTGAATGTTTCACACGGCAGTCAGGATACTACTTTGCTGCCTAGTAAAACAAATAACTATTGCCTCTTTGTCCTGAAGCAAGATTCATCTCTGAATTGAGGATTTATTGACAAAATAATCTTGCAATTAGACTATATGTGAGGGTGCCTGAAATCTATATTGCTCACCCTATTGAAAAAGTGCTTTCCAACCACGACCTTATTCTTCTTCTTCCTCTGGATATTGACGATGTTATACTCTGCATTAATTCTATCACCTTGGTCGTCGAAGGCCACTTTGCCTGTTTCTCCATTCAAGAGGACTTGTTTTCTTATGAAATTGAAGAGATCTTTGCCTGTTTCCCATATGGAACCGGAGTTATCGCAGTCTTTTGGGGCCTCTGTTATTTCCCTTGTCTGGTTCATATCTCTCAAAGCTGATGCCAAAACATATCTGAAGGAAATGGTAACGAAAAAATAAACTGTTGTTTATATAAACTCAAGTCCAATTGTCAAATTTGCTTATGTCTTTATAATTTCAAATTCAAATACTCAGTAACTAATATTTTGCACCTTTAATCAATCAGTGAGCTTTTTTTGCGGCATGTTCAAAATAAATTGTTGAGATTCTTAGCCTTTCAAAACAAGATTCGCGTTCAGGACCACAATTACAAGCCGATTCGGAATCAATTTAAAATTATGCCACTTAGTAAAAGACGTACTATCTCATACTTACTTGCAAAAATAAATTCCAACGTTCTCAGTAGAAACAATCTTCGATATTATACCCCATTCAATATCCCTTATTGTAGAACCAATCTAGGACAAAACTCGCCACTAGTCAGGGCCTACTCTATAGAGTAGGCCCTGCACTAGTTCGTGTGCAAAAAGCATTCAACACCACTGTCACCATACCAATTCATCTCTCGACATTTTCTCGACATCTTTGCCTCGTTTCAAATTTTTTTCGAAAAGTATGTTTCTCAACTCGGATCAATAGTTAAAATAGTTGAAAATGGTTCCTCATTTCCTGTACTCGTTCTATTATGATCTATTAAGTCCCATAATTTTTACAATATTGATAATATATAAAAACATTTTCATACAATATTTTCAAATCACATTTGTATCATTCCCTAATGATATTATACCGATAAGAAATGTTCATGTATAATTAGGCACTGGGACGAAATAGCGCAGGACAAAATAGCGCAGGAAGAAATAGCGCGGACAAAATAGCGCAGGGACATAATAGCGCAGGGTCATAATAGCGCCGGGACATAATAGCGCAGAGACAAAATAGCGCAGAGACGAAATAGCGCAGAGACAAAATAGCGCAGGGTCATAATAGCGCAGGGACAAATTTGAGCGCGAAAACGTAGTGCATCATCTATGATTACGTTAATTCGTTTGTCAGGGCATAGACTATTTCTCCAAATACTAGATGTTTCAAAAGGAGACTACCCTTACAAACGAAGTAACTTAATACTAGGTATGCCGTTGGATTGTTAAAGTAGACCTATGATTAGGTTAGTTTGTTTGCTAGGGTATAGACTCATTTTGAAACACCTTGTATTTGAAGAATGAGTCTTTACTGTAACAAACGAAGAAACCTAATCATAGATCCTGCACTCCATTTTCGCGCGCAATTTTGTTCCTACGCTATTATGACCCTGCGCTATTTTGTCTCTGCGCTATTTCGTCTCTGCGCTATTATGACCCTGCGCTATTTCGTCTCTGCGCTATTTCGTCCCTGCGCTATTTTGTCCTGCGCTCTTTTGTCCGCGCTATTTTGTCCTGCGCTATTTCGTCCCAGTGCCGTATAATTATTGTAGAAAAAACTTCTAGAATAATTCTTACATAGTGGATGCTGTTATCTGGAACTTTGTTCTGTTAGCAACCTAAAATGGCAAATAAATTGTTGACCGTTTTCAATATTGCAATGAAAAAATTGAGAGAGAGTAGAGGAATTGAGATCGCATTGATTACTACATGTTGAAGCGAAGGACATTTTGAAATTGGTCAACAAATATAGGAAAATACAAGGATTGCAAAAGTTCCACCACTGTACCTACATTTGATGACTAGGTATATACTCACATACTATCTCTAATGTGAGCCTTTTCATCGGTTGCATTCACAAGTTGTAGGCCTAATATACCTTCTGGAACATTATCGGCTTCAAGAGCTTGTTCTGTGACGATCCAAGCATATCCAGCATCTGTCATGTTCAGTGAAGCAGCATCTCTGAATATAATTTTGGCATCATGTTTGCTAAAATTCCCATGACGTCATCAGTTTTTGAGGGGAAAACAGTTGTATAGGTCATTCATTATATACAGGCATGCAAATTGTGAAAAATAACCTTGCAGAATAAAAACAGCATTTCTTACTTTGCAAACATCAGATATACTCTGGCTTGTGCGTTTTTCATGTCCACTAGCTGTTCTCTGAAGCTTTCAAATCCTGGTTCGAATTCTATCACCGATTCCACCTTCAAATATTATACTACTCATTCAAAAATATATACAGGGTATCTCATAGGTCATGGATCAATGGAAATGGAAATGGAAATACTAACCGTATGTGTGGTTATCAAATTATTGATGGGTAAAAAGTTATTAAATTTTCCTGAAAAACGCGACCCTTCAAAAAAAAAAGGAATAACAAGAAGGCTGCTTGGAATAACCACATATCTTATACCATTTCGGAATCTGTATCAAATGGGCAACTTTTTAATTATTGGTAATCTTTGTGGCGTAGTTTTCAAATCGCTACGGAAGTCAATCTACTACTTTCCAGCCTGTATAGAAAAACAAATAACTATATTTTCGCGCATTCATAACAAATTGGCGAAGTGGCATTTTTTTCAATTTCCTACGTACCACGACACCATGTGCGAAATAGTGCGCGAAATAAAACGATGCGCTGAGTACATACCTACTTGGCGCACTGTATATGTGAACTATATGAAATTTTTGTATTCAAACTTTATGATCCTCAATCGAGCAAACATCCAAGAAATCATTTATTTATGAATGATCCACAATTATTTAGGCATTTCAAGTCAGTTAAACATTATTTTTTATATTAGGCTGAGCATAATATATTACTATACTTTGATCATCTCGATCAGTTCTCGAGCATTAAAGTAACATTTCATGAACTGATCAAAAGGCTAACATCCAAAGGGTTATTGCTTTTAGGATACGCCGACGATCTGCTGGCGATTATCGCTAAAGGTAGATTCGCAAGTACGGTCTCGGAGCTCTCGCACAAACCGCTCTAAACATAATTGACAAGTGGAGTAAAGAGGAGGAACTCACCGTAAACCCTCATAAAACCTCTATAGTGAATTTCACGAAAAAGAGAGTACTGGAAGGATTATTGCCACCATCAGTACTCAACGGGGTAGAAATTCCGTTCGCCCTAGAGGCAAAATACTCAGGAGTCATCTTTGACCATGAGTTAACATGGAATCAACACCTACAAAAAATTGCTCAAGAAAGTACAGTAGCCTTCAATCTGTGCAGACGAATGTGCGGAAAAAGTTGGGGACTGCAACCAAAAATGACCACGCATGGCTCTATGCCAGCGTCATCAGACCTATGATAGCATATGGGTCAGTAGTTTGGTGGAGTGATTCGAAGGGCCGAAGGCTCAGTGCTATTCAAAGGCAAGCTTGCCTGAGTGCCACTGGTGCAATGAAAACCACTCCAACAGCCGCTTTAGAGGTCCTCTCGAACCTGCCACCACTACAAATATAATATATTCAAGGCGAAGTCAGAGAGCAGCCGTGAGGTCAAACACCAATAAGCAACGCGCACGGTAAAGACTATACTGACTATAGAAAGCTATATGAAGAGTTGGAAAGCGACCCCATCATGGGAATGCCAACGGATGACATAATTCCAAAATATAGCTTCGAAAAAACTTTCAAAATAAGTATAACGGGAAGAGATGAGGCATGGAAGGAAGGACCTCCTATCAGTGCAGACATTGCTGTACGGACGGCTCCAAAACTGAGGAAGGATCAGGAGCTGGTATTTATGGGGCCAAGCCAAGCAAAGACAAAAATCTCACTGAGCTTAGGTAAATACGCGACGGTGTTTCAGGCAGAAGTTATTGCAATACATCATTGCGTGAAAGAATTGATAAGGCAAACCCATTGCAATCTATTCAGATAGCCAGGCGGCTATCAAAGCAGTCACATCTCTACAAGTCAACTCAAAACTAGTATGCATAGAAACCCTGAATGAACTGGGCAGTCAGAACAGACTGACTCTAGCATGGGTACCAGCACATATACAGGGTACGAGGGCAATGAAGAGACAGACTCACTTGCCCGAGCAGGAGCAAACAAAGCTCCTGAATGACCCAGAACCCTTCTGTAGTATTGCGAAAGCTATACAAAAGACTAACTAGTATCAAATCATGGATCCAAACCAAATCTCAAGAATGGTGGAACAACTCGCCAGGTATGAGACAGGCAAAAGAGTTTATTAAAAAACCATCGCCAACATTCACAGAATATCTACTGAGCCAGAAACGAAGTTCAACTAGGCATTGTAGGCTCAACAAACACATGAGTACGATAGGTCTGACTGAAGAACTGCTGTGCAGGTTCTGTCAGGAAGAAGAGGAAACAGCACTACACATACTTTGCCACTGTGAGGGCTTGTCAAGACTAAGGTTCCTTACGCTGGGTGAGGAAAAACCAGAAGCCCAAAGATACACAGGGGATCTGAAAGCTAGCCTATGGAGTCTCATAGAGAAGGCGGGGCTAGCCGAACAACTCTAATCAATTTTGAGGGCAGACACAATAGATCTGAAAAGGTCGCGGTGTAGAAGCAGATAGCCCGAAGGTCCCATTCTAAATCTAAATCTAAAAAAATCTACTTATGTATTAAACAATGTGGTTCGAAAGTGTGTCAACCGAGTTATAGCCATCGTTATTGTGTTTTCCAGTTTCTAAAGAGAAAGTATTATCAGTTTCACCCCTGTTATCGAACCCTGTAGTTTATTTTCGATTGGAACTTTCAGACATATTGAAGTGACAGTACCTAATATATTCTCTTATTTTATCTACCTGCACTTTTATGTCTACGTCATCTTCAAGGCTCTGAGAGGTAGTCTGGAATCTTCCCAGCAGAGCTCTTCCGTCTGTATCAGAACTGTGTATAAAAATAACTTTTTTGTAGTTGAAATATTTGAGCATGTCGACCCATACATCAGCTTGATGGGAATATGGTGGTACTGTCCTGAGAAATGAGACATGAATATTCTGAAAGAAATAAAAAAAAATAATTTGTGAGAACGAGAGACCAAAATAAGTATGAAGACAATTCACGAATTCGAAATTTATTTCTTTCCACAAAATTACTAAGGTACCTTATCTGAAAATGCTGAATCTCTTGATGAAATCCCGATGACAGGTATATGATAAAAGCCACTGGTGTACGAAACTGCAGCTGGTGATAAATCCCCTGTCAGGGGATGAGATACTACTACAGCATACACCTAAAGGTTAGATAATATTGTTATTTTTTAAAACAAATGTACCTATACTGAGTGTCCCTAAAAGGTCTGTACAAAATCTTAGCACATATCCCTGAGGTCAAAATAAACCGATTTAAAGCAACTTACGTCAGTCCTCTGATAGAGGGTGATAGAGGGTGGTGAAGATAAAAAATGAAATTCGACAAGTACACTCCAAGAATGTATTCTGAAGAATCTTTTTTTGCACTGCTAATTCACTGACCAAAAAACATCCAAGAATATAACAGCAAACATTTTTTATTTTAAATAATTCAAATAATCCTGTGCTGCATCGAACGTTAAAACGCGAAATATCTCGAAATCAACTTACTTCAGCGGATTATCACACGAGTATTTTTTCTGCTTGAAAAGGTCAGAAAAATATTTCCTCAGCAGAAAAAGTGAGAAACTACACTGAGAAAAAAGTTATGGTCATTCTAAACCATAAGACGTGCATTGACAAGCGCCATCTAATGGACACAGTGAAAAGGTGCCCGTATTCATGTTTCGCATCCCAAAAAAAAAACGAATATTAATTTTTGGAGTGATAAGTTTGTAAACGTCCATAAATTCTGAGGAACTCGATTTTTATTCTTCAATTTTACCACCCTGTATCTCGGAAACGAAGCAACTTCGGACTAGGTAGGTTGCTTAAAATCGGATCATTTTGACCTCAGAAAAACGTGCTGATATTTTGTTCAGACTTCAGGGACACGCTGTATAGACATTCTCATTTAGATGATGGATTACTATCGTTGTTCGGCATACAAAAAATGCCATTCTTCAAATTTCAACTCCAATATACAGGGTTTTCAGTTGGTTGAATGGACAAACTAGTGGTATTTTTCGATGATGTTATGTCAAAAAGTTCAATTTTTTACACGGCACACCTTTACGCCAGGTCGTGCATAAATGTATTGAAAATTATATCAAAAGATCAATCATGTGAAAAATGTGAAATGTGAAGAGTGGAAAAAATGTTATAAAGTGTGACCCACTTCTAATGGAAACACCCTTGTATCTTACGTAATCGTTGGATAAGGATCCTGAAATTTGCTGGAGCGAGAGATATACCAAAAATGCACTATATTATCAAGTGGGGTCATCTTCAGTGATTTACACTGCTCGCCAACACCCATGGAACCACCCCCATTTCCGGAAATTAATATAAGGAGTCAAAATAGGTTGAAAATCACTTTGGACTCGGAATCAGGACCCCCAATTCACTATCTATTCATAGTTTTACAAGAAAATTTGTCAGTAGAATATTCAGGAGAGTTCTGGACCCAAAGCGCTCTATGCTCAATCTGGCTCAAACGGTCATCGAGTTCCTCCAAGTGTAGCGATCGACGTTGCAGAGCTCCTGGTGTGTGAACTGAAGAACCCTGACGTCATGCATAACTTAGAATGTATCTAGGGTGCCTGATGGTTCCTAAATTTTGGTAACATTTTTCGTTGCCAGTCTTTGTCTAAGTCATCTAACTCTTTCACAAACCACTCAATGCAGTCGGTACCTCGGTAACTTTTATAGAATGATAAACTGTCATCAAAAGTACACTTTACATAATATCCCACACTAAATGTTTCATGTTTCTCACTTCTCATGGAAGCACCCCCGTATCTCACATAATTATTGAGGTAGGGTTCTGAAATTTGCAGGAGGAAGGGAAAGTCCAAAGATAAAGTCAGTTACGTAAGATACGGGGGTGCTTCCGTAAATAGTGCGACAAAATTTGATTTTTCAGAACTGAAAATTTTCCAGGAGAAATATGAATATTTAGTGAATTCGGCGTCCTGATTCCGAATCTGAATTGATTTTCGACCTATTTTGACTCCTACTATCATTTTCCGAAAATTGGGGTGGTTCCATGGCTGTTGGCGAGCAGTGTATATCACTGAAGATGACTCCACTTGGTCATAGAGTGCATTTTTGGTATATCTCTCGCTCCAGCAAATTTCAGGATCCTTACCCAACGATTACGTAAGATACAGGGGTTTTTCCATTAGTGGGTCACACTGTAGGAAGAAAAAGTGCTACTTTACGCCCGCTGAATCTGACGAAAATGTGAAACTTTACGCTCTGGCGTACATAAATGGTCATAGGACTCAAAAACTCACCTTACTGGCAATCAAGAATTTGCAAACGTTGAGAGCTGTTCGAATCGGGTTTGGATCCATCAGTATAGCTGTGTGATAATACGTCACTCCTTTTGGTACATATTGGGAGTCGAAATTGAGGTGCTGATAAAGGATTTGAATCATTATTTTATTATTGGTATTAATTTATGTCGTTAAAAATGATATTTATCTTTCGATGGGATTAAACAGTGATTTCGTAAAGTACTCAATAAATTCATTTTCAGCCAAAGTACCTAGGTATTCATTTCCGAGTGAACCACGTTTGAGTAATGTCGACCACGACAATTTTTTCATCGAGACAGCCCATGTATTACTTAATTTTACGAATCATTATGGAAAGCTAGTTTCAAAAATGTATTACACATGTGGTTTGTATACAGTTCGTTCATTAAATGCAATGCTCTCCTAAAGTAGTGGATACATTCAATTTCATCCATACTATCCATTTCTGGGAAATCTTCTGAATCAGGAGAGATTTTCATCTTCAATTTGACAGATTAATGAGAGGAAATCAAATATTCAGGGTACACGTTTGAGTTATGGCGAATTTTTCAAGAAAACACCCCATTTATCTAATTTTTGGAATGTCAATGGAAATGTGGATTCAGAATCATATCACCTTAAGGCCCGTTAAATTCAGTGCTCTCGTAAAATTGGGTCGAAATTAAAAAATACCGAAAACATAATTTCTCCTACACGAATCATTTTGTATGTATTGATTGAATTTGAAAGAATGCTTGAATGAATATAAAATTCTACGGCTTCGAGCGTTTTTTCAAACAGATATTCCTTCAATTTTCAACGAATTTATCCACAACTTCACAAAAATACTCAATTTGACGAACGCACTGTATATAAACTCTACGTGTTATATATTTTTGAGTTCAGCTTTCCATTGAGATTCCAAAAATCTAATGATTTATAGAGCGTTTCATTTGAAAAAATTGTCGCGGACGTAATAACTCACATGTGAATATTACACTTTTCCTCATAAATGTGGGAGATTGAAAATGGAAATCGTCTTGTTTCAGTAGATTGCACAGAAATGAATAGTTTGGCAATAAATATATCTATTTATTACTTTACGAGAGCACTCAATTCAAGGGACACACTGTATGTGTATGTATGTGTACTATATTTTTGAATTCAGATTTCCATCGAGATTCCACAAATTCAATAATATATATATGGGGTGTTCCATTTGAAAAAATTGCCGCGGACAGGCTTAACTCAAACGTGGAAAACCCTGTATGTCCTACTTTTCCGTATAAATTTAGCAAACTGAAAATAAATATCGTTTTGTTTCGGGAGATTTCTCAGAAATTGATAATTTGGCAAAAAATTAATTTATTCAGTATACTCTGCTAAAGCACTGTATAATCGTTTCGAAGAAATTGTGGCTTTAAATTTTTTGGTGGGTAAGAGAAGAGTTACTCGATCCTCCACCATAACTTCAAATTTGAATCAGTATGGCAGTAAGTAATATATGAGAACAAGGATATGAGAATATAAAAAGTTGATGTTTTTCTTGTTTGAGATAAATGCATTGAAAATTACTCATTGTTACTGGTTTTGAAAAATGAAAATGAGTGATACAATCTCGAACAATGAGTCAATTCTCAATTGATTTTTTGAAATTGCAACGTTTAGTGGAAAGTTGAATGAACTTGCAATTTTGGTGAAGGCACACATCGTTTTCCATTCAGACTTTACTGCTATCTGCTATCACCTCTACATCTACATTACTGTATTGGTAGATTTTCAAAAAATACTCATATGGTATACTTCTCTAATTGGGATACCTGATGATTACAGATGTTCTAAATATTCCAGTATAGTCGTTCTTTTAAGTATATCTGTATATCCTTGGGTTCGAATCTAATGAAACAGTAAAAATGAACCACATAGGTAGGTACCCCATTTTTGTATCACAAGATCAAACATCATAATATGATAAAATTTGTATATTTAATAATACAAAAAGTATTTATTCGAATACTTACGTCAATAGTTTCTTTGAAATATTTTTCACTCTCATTACTGCTCAGAACTCCCCCAATGTTAAACACTGTTGGATTAGGAGCATTCCAATCTCTTTGATTAGCTAACACTAACACAAAAACAAAATTGCAAAATACCAAAATTTTAATATTAGTTCTCCACATTTTTCAATATTTTTAGTTTGATGGGAGTAACACCGCTCCCGTTGTAACTAGGCGGTAAACTCGGCATACTAGAGACATTTTAATAATATTCCTGACCACATCCTGACTATATAATACTAGCTGTACCCGCTACGCTACTTAAGAAAATAAAATCTAAGGAAAGACAGTATATAACCAAAATTATTGAATTTATTTCGAGTCATTTCATTGATTATATAGCTGACCCGGCTAAAGTTGTTTTGCTTTGTATATTCCAAGAGGTAATACTTTTCATGGTAAAATATAGTTGGCGAATGGTGAATACTGTGTTGTTGATCTACCAAAATTTCAAAATTCATATAAGTAGGTTTATTATAAAACTGCTGCGCTACCTCTTCAACCTTGGATTAAGTGGCAAGAGAACATTAGCAAAGTTTATAATACCCTACGTTGCCATGGAACTTCATCAGATGATATCGATTTAGTGAGATCTTGAAATGGACCAAATATACAGGATGATTATCAAAAATTATTGAAACGTATGCATAATATCATTCTATATTTTTTGGGATTGTGTCTCCTCGATCGTTTCTATGAAATAAAACGATCGAGTACCTATTTATGAAAACATGTATTGTGTCCACAATTATTGTAATTTTGTTGAATTTTATCTGAATTCTATATACGTACTTATATAAAAAGTCAGATCATATTTGACCATCCAGATTTTGGTTTGAATTTATTATGCATTATTTGAGTATATCTCACAGAAAGTTTGATAATTATATATGAGTGGAATTCGTGTTTTAGCGGAAATGGCATATTGATGCATTTTTTTTTAATATATCACACGGAAAGTTTGATTTCATGAATACATAAACATCTATAGGGGGAGTAAGGTGTTTCACAGTTTCATTAATTGGAAATATTTCAACTTTGAAATCCTGAGCCCAAAATATGAAGATTCAACCCAAATCACCAAGATAAAATGTGTCTCCTGTCTGAGTTTCATCGTGGTTGCATCCTCTGGTAACTTCTAAATGTCAGGTATATATATGTCTATTGAGATTGCTATATTCAATCCTTCATAATTCAAAAACTTCCTGGCGCAGCATCCTTCGAGGGTAGAGTAATATTGATTTTTCATTGGACGTTTTTTAATTTGTATAGGTACGTATTTACTGAATGTCTCAGAATACCGTTCGCGAGGTATAGTTTTGCAGATGAAAATAAGAAAAAAAAAATCCTATATCAACAACCAAAAATGCTTCCGAAGAGCTCTAGAGTTCTTTGAAGCTAAGTCCGTTTTCTTCGATTATCTTTGTCATCAATGATCCTTTAGAATCACGTAATTCGCTACTTAAGGTTGATATTCGATCTTACTAATCGTTTCGTGTGGTACGGAAAACATGGTTTTATTTTCAGGGAGGTGCGAAATTCGTAACCATGTTATGAAAATGTCCCAATAATACTGTAAGAGTATCGTTCTGAAAAACATTTCATGCTGTCTGGGGGTTGGAACACTTTGTCACATTTTTATCTACATATTTTTGAGAAAAGTACTGTTGTGGTGTCGAGTATCGACGTCAGAACGTACGTTAGAAATATCGGAATTTACCGCATCCTGCCATCATTTCATAAATGAAGCGGACACCCCATGGTCCCTGCTTATTCCTGGTCCGAGACGCTCGTGATTCATCGGCTTCAATCATAGAAATCATAATTATTATACAGGGGGTGTCCCTTAAATGTCTGTACAAAATGTCATCACATATTTCTGACGTCAAAACGAGCCGATATAAAGCGATCGACTTACCTCAGTCCAAAGTTTTGCTTCGTTTCCGAGATACATATGGTGATGAAGTTAAAAACAATAAAAATCGAATTTCTCATAATTTATGAACATATTTTTATGAATTTGATATTTGTTTTTTTTTGGGATGCGAAACACGAATACAAGCACCTTTTCTCTGAGGCAAATAGAGGGCGATTACCAATGATCCTTTTATGGTTTAGAATGGCCATAACATTTTTCTCAGTGTAGTTTTTTACTCGATCCGTTGAGGAAATATTTGTCTGAACATTGTTATGCAAAAAAGATACTCTTGTGAGTCTTGTGATAATCCGCTAAAGTATAAGCCGATTTAGAGATATTTCGGTTTTCAATATTCGATGTGCAGCACCAGAATATTATTTTGAATAAAAAATAATAATTGCCGTTATCTTCTTGGATGTAGACCATCAGAGCAAGAGTTCTAAATGAGAAAGGGTTTTAAGATCTAAGATCTAATTCAAGAAATCAGAACTCTATATTTGTGTTCCGTGTAGATTTGATAAACATCTCAGTGCTATATGCCATGCCATATTATGAAAAAAGAAGACTGACTTTGACGGACAGCCTACCGCCAAAGTGAAAACATTTAACCTAGAATCTGTTGGTTTTTGATTTTTTTCCATGTATTTTCATATTATTATTATATTATCTTTATACCTACCTTCTACCTTGTATTTTCTAGAAGGTTGATTCTATAGTAACTTCATTTACGGACAGTTCTTCCAAGGAAGGTATAGAGACTTTGTTTTTGTAGATATTTTTAAAATTCTTTGGTCAAAGTTGACAATGTTATTGTAATGAAGGCTCATTACAAAACAACCTATCATTCTTGTAGTCTGCTACTTCAAGCTCTCATTTATTCATTTTTGAATTCCAGATGGCAAGTTGTAGTGGATATAATGGCCTCAAAAGTGATGATGGAGAAATGTCTTTTTATAGAAAAGATGCTCTTTCTGTAGTAACATTCAAAATTGTTTACAATCAAGAAGCATACAAGAAGAAACATTTCCTGGAATTCAAACCAACTATGGCTCACCAGATTTTTGGGGAGAGTGAAAGTGTATTTGGATACAGATCTTTATCCATAGCCTTGTATTTCCTTCACAACTCTTGCAATTGCTATGTTGATGTTAAATCTTCTGGCAGAATAAGCAGTTTATATAAAGCTGATAATATAATGGAGAATATGAATTCTTGGCTTCCTGAAAATTTCACCACTGATGAGAGAAAATTCTTGGAACTGCTGGATAAAGAAAAACATGACTTAGTTTTTGGAAGTATACTGGCTGAATTCAAAGATACTAAAACAAACCAACTATTCAGAGAAAAACAAGTACATGCCACCTACAAGATTACATTGTGTGATGTTAATGATGAAAGCTTTAAGGATTTCCATAGAAGATTTGAAACATTTATTGTATGGTACATTGATGGTGCCAACTTCATTGATTTAGAAGATGAAAGATGGCTCATCTTCTATGTATATGAAGAAATCATAGATCCAGAAACAAAAAGGTCTTACATTACTCCAGTAGGATTTTGCAGTGTTTATAAGTTTTTTGCATATCCAAGTAACATCAGACCAAGAATCAGTCAATTCTTCATTCTACCATCCCATCAGAGAAGAGGAATTGGGAAGATGCTATATGGAACAGTCATGAACAAACTGAGAGATATGCCTGAAGTTGTAGATGTTACAGTTGAGGAGCCAACAACAACATTCCAAAGAATGAGAGACTTGGATGATTGTTTATCTATTCATCATGCTCTGAAAGACACTAAAGTCTATACCATCACTAGCAGTCCTAAGAAAATCTATGAAGTCATGAGAAAGTACAAAATTTGCAAAAAGCAGTGCCAACGCATCTATGATATTCTATTAGGCTCAGAGACCAGCAAAAAAAATGAAGAATATAGAAATTATTTGAACAGTATTAAAAAACGTATTAGTGCAGATGCAGAAAGGGAATCTAGAGGAAGTAAAAGACTGTGTAATGTAGAAGGGCTTACCCTGAAAATGGAACATACAGATAAAAATGGTTTGATTGAGGCAGAGTATAAGAAATATGTGGATGACATTGAGCAATCTATCATATCCTTCAAAAAATATAAAAAGTGAAGGATGAAAAGATTTTATGATCTGTTCGAAATTCTTGTTATTAAAAAATGTTGAAAGTAATACAAATTGAAATAAAATTACAATCAGGCCAGTATGTTCTTGGAAACTCAGAAGATTTTTTAGAGTATGATTTAATTTGGGATTTGTTTTTATGATTAGAAATGTAAGTACCTATATGATTTGTGCTGATTTTTGTAAAGTTTTTTGATGAAAACTTTTGATGGAAATATCTTAACTTAACTGATCCTACAATTTTTCCAAAGGCAAAAATTAAAAGGATGATTATTGTCAAACCAACTTTTTTTATTTCAAACATAAAAAAACAATAAACACAAAAATTTTATTCCTCACTAACTGATACCATTTGAATGGTTAATATGCTAATAATCACATGTAATCACTAATTATACAAAGATTCAAATTCAAAAAAAATATAGTGTGTTCTGAATAACTGAGATGTTCATGCTAATATCTGAAATTTACTAACTTCTAATAACCTATTTACAAACCTTAAAAAGAAAATCAGTCTTAAATCTGGTAAATTTGATATAACTTTCTGTCAAACATCAATATTTTCTTATAAACTGGTGAAATATTCAAATGGTTCACAATGGTGTAATACTGAGAAGTTCTATTCAAATTGAAATAACTGATAATGTACTTTCTAGATTCATTTCTGGCCAATTCAAGTAATGAAGGAAACATTGGTGAAATTTCTGGAAAGTTTCTGAACCCATCATTAGCAAAATCTAGCATCCTCTCATCATTGAACTCTTTGAGACATATATCAAACAACCTATGGCAAGCCCAGAAACTAAAAGCATGTTTTACATCTTCTCTCAATTTTGCTACATTTGTCCACCTATCACTTATCATCAATAATTCATCACATCTTCTTTTGATATCAGTGTTTATATCAAAGATTAACCTAGATGTGATCATGAATGGTGACCAGTTACTTCTATAGTCCATAAAAAGTAAGATTTTGAATAATTCACAACAACCAAAATTTATGAGTGTTTCATGAATAACAAAAGTATCAACCTCAAATCCATGCTGAAGTAAAAGACAGGTTAGTTTGGAAATGCTATCAAGATTTAACCAGTTATTTATAGTTGATTTTTCAATGAGGAAAGCTAAGTCTTTACTAGATGTATTGGCTGCAATCACTGTTAGAACAGAACTTTGAGAATGGTCAATAATAATATCAATGTAATTTTGCAAAAACTTATGGTCCAATTGAAAAAATAAGTCTAGTAGACGGATATCAGAGGCTTCTTCAGGACCCAGTCTTTCCCATACAAGCTTGAATTTTTTTGTGTTAGGTACCCTAAGGCATACACTATATGCATGTAGGTCTACAATAGCACCTCTATTTATAATTTCTTCAGTAAGTGTTGTATTATGTGATAAGGCCAGTGCTAAAGTGCTCATCCCAACAGCATCACATATGTTGAAATTGTCAGTGTATTCAAAAAGGGCCTCTTGTATTTCAACATTCCCTACAATCAGGGCCTTCATGAAGGGGTTCAAATTGTTCCCACCAACTCTATTACCATCAGCATTGTAATAGAGGAACATGCACACTGTTTCCAAGTACCCCTCAGCTACAGCATCATGCAAAGGCATATCATTACTATAATCTTCTACATCTAACACTGCTCCACTCTTTATCAACAAATGTGCAATATCTGGATAATGAACAGATGCATGTAGGGGTGTGATATCTTCATAATTTGATATATTAACATTAGCTCCATTGTCTATCAGGCACTTTGTCAATTCAATATGGCCATATTTGACTGCTAGAAAAAGAGGTGTCTGACCTAGGAAATTTCTTCTGTTGATAATTATATCTTCATTGGACAGTAAGTACTTCAGAATTTCTATGCTGAAAAATTTGAAATACTCAAATGTATATTTTTCTTGACTTGAAATGGGGACTTTACTCACTTGTTCTTCATCACTGATACATGCATTGCAGTATTTCCAGTATTATCATTTAAGTTAATAGATTTTCCTGCTTCCACTAACTCCTTGAGTCTTCCCAAATCTCCATTCACAACAGCTTTAAGTACACCAGATACAAGTAATGGGTCATCATATTGGAATATTGGTTGACAGTTTGCATGGTTCTTCAAGAAATTAAACCAGTATGAATGACCAATAAACAAATGTGTATAATATGGAATATATATTGATAGAAAACAGAAATGAGTGCCATATATATGAAAACTAAACCATGTTTTATACTAGCTGCTATAGTAGGTAACAACATGATGAAAATACTTAGGTAATCAAAGGATCAGCATTAGCTATATAATCATCCCAAATCTCGACCCCAAATTGAAGTGATTTGTTATTTCAATTGATGATTACTCTGACAAAGAATAGGTGTACTGGACATCACATACCACTGGGAATAGCTCTTCATCTGATGAATCATCTGAATGTGAAGCTGAAGACATGATTATTTTAGAATGCAAATTTTCTAAGGCACCAGAAGTGAATGAAGATGATATTGTTAATAATTCCAAAAAACCCGAAATAGCTCAATTTGTTCAATTTTAAATCCAGTTGTTACCATGCATCATTATTATTATTAATTACTCAAGGCCCAAGGTCAAATAATCGATCATACAACATACATAAAAGAAAAATAAATAATGATTCCACCATGATAATACCAATTTCAAATAATATTTCTTCCCGCCTTTGTCATAAGCTGTCATAAGTCATGAATTCATTCTTTTTGGACGGAGAGGTCTGTTCGTTCGAGTTGCTGAACTTGCTAAAATTGATTTTGTTTGCATTAATCCCATTGACTCATTGTTGGCATAATGTGCAAAGAGAGAGAGTCATAGAAAAAAATCAAGTTCATAGGGATTCCCTTTCGTGCGCACCAAACGATGAAAAAGAGCAAACACTATGATTACTGTGGTGAGACTAAGGGTGAGACCAATGACGGCTAAATGGACTGTCTGACAGTCCATTTAGCCGTCATTGGTGAGACGTACAATTCTAGCTACACTCAAATACGTCAGTTTGCATCGAGGGAACCTAGCTACACTCTCTACCTGCTGAACTTAATTTTTTTCTATGACTCTCTCTGTTCACATCATACCATGAACAGAGACAATCTTCAGCAATTTCCAGAATAGATATCTAGCCGTCATTGAGCAGCACGAGCTAGGCACGAACTAGCACAAACGAATAGACTTTTTGTTGAGTTGTGCTGGTTGTGCAAATTGTAATAGCGGATACACAGAAACCATCTGCGAATCGTCCCGAATGCGCGCGCATATATATATCAATACAGATCTGCAGGTCCCAGGTTCGATTCGCTATGAACTTAATCTTTTTTTAACAACTTTTTTTCACCAATGTATCTTTACTTCATTCTGGTTTAGCTTCCTCAAAAAATATCGAATGTCGAATAGGTTAGTGCGTTTAGGATAAACAGTCTCATTTTATTCAATTTTGTTGAAAAACTTGACTTACCATTGATCAATGTGTATTTACTTCATTCTGGTTTTCCTTCCTCAAAAAATATTGCAATTAGGAATAGGTTAGTTTGTTCAGGATAAATAGACTCAATCCATTTAATTTTGTTGAATACTATATTTTTATATGACTGAAATTTTCCACTTCATCCTATTTTCTTTTCTCGAAAAGATTCGGATTCAATCACGATTCATTTTGAATGCACCGCCATAGCTAGAATCGTTCTGATTGGTTCATACACTCGGGACGATTTGCAGATAGTTTCTGTGTATCCGCTAGTCAAATTGTTGGGTGCCGTCCTTGTGATTGACGGCTGTGTCTGACATATTGAATATCGCTGTCGTTATTTTGAGGATGACAGTGCTTTTTGAGAAATATTAGTAATTGTGAAAATATGGCTGGTGCAATGTTGTTTGAAAGAGCACAATCCGTTCCTTCTCAACACGAGAAACTTTTGAATTTGAAGAGAAATGAAGACGAGGATAATGATGACCAGAACATTGTTAATAAAGAGCAAGACATCCTCAATCTGGGAGAAAAATACAAGAAAGAGGGTAAGGCCAAAGAACTTGCTGAATTGATAAAAGCCACTAGACCTTTCCTTGGCATGATAAGCAAGGCAAAAGCTGCAAAGTTGGTGCGATCTTTGGTCGATTACTTCCTTGATTTAGAAGCAGGCATTGGTATAGAAGTACAGCTATGCAAGGAATGTATAGAGTGGGCAAAGGAAGAAAGAAGAACTTTTCTGCGACAATCTTTGGAAGCCCGACTGATTGCTCTTTATTTTGATACAGGAATGTACAATGAAGCTCTGCAACTAGAGTCCACTTTGTTGAAAGAACTGAAAAAGTTGGATGACAAAAATTTGTTAGTTGAAGTTCAGTTGCTTGAAAGTAAAACATATCATGCCCTGAGTAATCTACCCAAAGCTCGTGCAGCACTAACATCTGCTCGTACTACAGCAAATGCCATTTACTGTCCTCCAAAAATGCAAGCAGCATTGGATCTCCAGTCAGGTGTATTGCATGCTGCTGATGAAAAGGATTTCAAAACTGCTTACTCATATTTCTATGAAGCATTTGAAGGATTTGACAGTGTAGAAGCCCCAAAAGCACTCACAGCTTTAAAATACATGCTTTTGTCAAAGATCATGGTCAATAGTCCTGAAGATGTTCAACAAATTGTAAGTGGCAAATTGGCAATCAAATATGCTGGACCTGATATTGATGCAATGAAGGCTGTTGCCCAAGCAGCTCACAAAAGATCATTGGCAGATTTCCAACAAGCTGTCAAACAGTTCAAGCATGAACTTGAAGATGATGTTATTGTTAGAGCACATTTAGGAACACTCTATGACAATATGTTGGAACAAAATTTGTGCAGAATCATTGAGCCATATTCTAGAGTGCAAGTAGATTACATTGCAAAAACAATCAAGCTTCCTATGGTACAAGTAGAAAAGAAGCTGTCACAGATGATTCTTGATGCCAAGTTTCATGGTATATTAGACCAGGGAGAAGGTTGGTTGATTTACATATTATATAAACATATATCAAAGTAATGTTTATAGATTAGTACCCAATTCAATGATTCGGAAATTTCATTCAGTTGTAAATTACTGTGTTGACATCCATTTAAAAAAATATATTGGTATTTTTGAAATATTTTCTCAGCTTGATGCTAAAGCCAGTAGACCATTGTATTAATATAGTGAAGGAATATATTTATGAGTATTGGATATCCCCAAAATATTGAAATTGAATCACTTGATTACAATATTCTTGTAATTCAAGGATATTTTACTGAACTGTGATAATGATGATTGAATTTTCTTTTGCAGGTGTTCTAATTGTGTTTGAGGAAACTCCAGTAGACAAGACTTATGAAATGGCTCTAGAGACAATACAAAGCATGAGTAAAGTAGTTGATACACTTTATCAAAAAGCTAAAAAATTGTCCTAGGTGCAATGTAATAATTGAACTAAATTTAAAAGTGACTGTATTTTCTCAATTTTCAAAATATGTCTTATAACTTTATTTTACTTACCATTTTTGTTTGGCATAATTATTATGATGATGTAATTCAAATTTATGAATAGTTGATAATACAAACTAACAAAATTTACAGTTTCCCTTTGAGTTGTGATTTAGTTTTTTTAACAATTTCATAGGCTAACCTCCTTGAGCATTTTTCAATTTGAACTTTGGGGTTAAGGATTCATGGATTCAAATTTAGTTTTTTTTTGTATTTCATTGATTTTGTAAATATTGAAAAGTGCTGACAGTGGAATGAAGAAAGAACTAAGAATCAATTTTTCATAGCTGTAATTATTTAATAATGCTTGATATTAAATGGATGTTTGAGTAGAGTTTCTTTATCATATTTATCCTCATTCAAGTAAATACCGAGGTAAATACTAATATAAGTTGAGAAAATCCCAACTATTCTATAAGAATTCTTTGATGAAAGCCAGAATCATACTGAAGAACAGAAGCAACTAACACATGTCAAAATAATTCCTCCAAGGATTACATGTTCCCTCTTAACAATTTGACAGATTACTATGCATCCAAGAATGCATTCTCATCTCTCAAACATGGGTTTAAAGAGACACAGCATCAAAAATGGCCACGTGGCACTCAATCATTGTTGAAGACCCGATATAACAATAACCTGAAATAAACAACGGAACTATGGAGAAAATCATGGTTTCTTTTTCGCAACGCGACAACATTCTCGGTATTCCTCGTAGCAAAGCTTGTAGCCTTTGATTAGCGGTGTTGCCACGAAAGTGGTTTAGTAGTTCTGAAGGGTAGTTTTTCATTATTCTTCATAATTCTTATTGATAGTTTGTGAAATTCAGTGTGGTGTGAAATGGTTCGCCAGTGCCAAGGGTAGAAAACTAGACAATTCAAACCATTATGCTTCCTTTCACAGCTCAAATACCTATTTGTTCACCATGTCCTCATTTATATGAGGCATTGCCAATATGTATAACAACATCAAGGAATCATTTGGGCAAATCAAATATACAGGGTTTTTCACTTGAAACTCGGCATGTCGTTATCTCGCAAACGAATAGGAACATAACATTTTAACACCTCAAGTAGTGTAACGGAGGGATTCCCACCTTCTCATCGATGTATATAAGTCATACCTTCGATATCCCGGGAAAAAAACAGTATATCTAAATGTACACGCTATAATTTATTACTTTCGTTCCTCCGTCGTTCGCCGCGTGTGTGCTCTACGTGGCGCTCGGGTGGTCTGCTACAAACCATGCGGCCACGCCGAGTTTGATAGCAGCAGAATTCCACATGAACTTTGAATCATGAGAAAATATGCATTTTTAACAAAGTTATTGAATAATTTGTCCCCCCGCCGATGTGTAAATACACGGACTGTGCTCTCCGGCATACAACACAAGCTCATTATTCGAGGTGCGCTTCGTGCCGTTTTTCTCGAAACCGGACAAATTTTCGAGAAAAATGATAAGGACCATTTTTGTAGAAAATTAACTAAACTTCAATTTTTATCTGAACCGAAAATCTCTAACTGCCATATTTTAGGAGATATTGGCTGAAAACCTATTTTACTGGTCTTTTGGGGCCATTTTCTCCGCCATCCCACGCGTTTTTCAGTCAAACTTTGTCTCATGTTTAATGAGGTACCAAAAGCTACTTCCAACCGGAAGATGAAGATAGTGCGTAATTAACGTTAACTTTGCCTCTTTTTCCTCCTTCATTTATTGGACTAATTTCAACTCAAATAATGCAAAAACGCTTGAATTGAACCAAGAAAACACATTTCTGTATTGTTATTTTATGTTCCTAGTTACGTACATGCCTATTTGATTTTCCTTTTTTATTCTAACATATACCTATTCATTTCCCTTGTTATTTATTATGTGAACACTAAAGGATTATGTTTTTGATTTTATTCCACAACATCCTATTTGTTATATTATATTTCTCATTTTGTTCATCAAACTTCTATATGAAAAAAAAACTGGTGTGCGTAGAACTTTCATGGTATAGGTACACTGCTGCTTATATGATTATGCCGGTCTTACGGTACGCGGCACCCGGCACGCGAGTTTGCTGTTTTACTCCCATCCTAGAAAACGTCCAACGTGCCTGTAGAATTTATTATCACTTCAAAAATGTGTGATGGGAAAAAATCCAGAAACCTGAAAGATTAGGAATATTTTTGAGTCTGAAGGACGGCGCGTCCATCATAGCACCAGGCGGAAAATCACCATAAACCGGCACTGGGTAAACCATACCAAGTACTCATTCGTTAATAATGGTCTATGTGAGAAACATTTCAATTGCCGAAAACAAGAACAGACAAAAACGCATTTTGAAAAACTGTATTAATCATTATTAATAATAACAAATATTTAAACAATTTATAGTAGATGATATGGTCAAACGACGTAACCTGAATTGATAATGGGTCCTGGTTTACAGTTATATATTTTAATTACATTTCTATATGGTGGTGGTTGGGGAAATTGGTTAGGGGGTTTAAACATATTTTTATACTTCTCATCTAGGCTGATTGTCATCGTCACTGAAGCAGCATCTCTCATAGAAGAATGCCTTGGTGGTGGCGGTGGTGGATTTAAATTATTACTCATAGGTGGCACCTGAAAATATAACAAAAAAATGTGCAGAAAACGTTCAAGGTTGAATAATTGCCGAATAGAAGTATAACAATTTTTATAACTGATTGGTGGCATCATAAAATACAATAATACGAAATTTCCATGAAACGTTTCTAATGAAAAACGGTCCAAGAGGAGTACTAGAATGGGGAAGTTTCCCATATTCAGTTTTTTTATTTCTCTAAAAAGTTTATGAAACAACACCTCAGAAAAGAATCAGAGAATTAGTTCAGGACCCTTCACTATTTTACTGACGTCATGTTCAAAGATTTTGCTAACGCGACCATGACCTTGACGTTGAATTTATTTATTTAAAAAAATCCGAATGTTTAGGTATTGAAAAAGTCTGTATTGACTAGTTCTAATATAAAAATGATATAAATCATTTCAATATGGGTATTTTATATCGCCAAAACATAACATGTTATATTGCCAAAACAACGCTAATCAGTGCACAACTAATTTAATGAAACTTCTTTATTGTTTAATCGATAAAAAAAAAAAAAAAAAAAATTGTAACAGCAATACCTCGAAAAATTCATTTTATTGAAAAAGATATCATCAGGTATGATACATTCCCTCTGCCAGATGGATCAATTGGAAAAAATTTGTTACGAGCACCAAAGTTAGTCAAAACCGCAGCTCCTTAAATTTTTCCAAATTTACCAAAATATTTTTCAAAACCAGCCAAACCATAAAAAATTGATCCAAATGAAAGACGTCAGAAATATTTAGATATTCAAAGTAATATAATGGAACAGTTTGAAAAATCATACCTCATCCACAACTATGAACAGTTAGTTAGGGAATATGTTGAGAAAGTTAAAATTGATACTTGGAAAATCCATAAGACTGATGATAAATTGTATTTTTATGAATTGGATTTGCAAGCAAATGTTTTTCATCCCAATGATGTAAATACTTTACAAATCGTTTCTCAAGTTATAATATCCAATGAGATGGAGGTCCAAGTTTTTCTTGGTAATAATAAACTTGGATTCAATGAATTGAAATGGATTCTTACTCATAATATGAAATGGAATAGATGGTCACAACTTGAAATTAATTATTTTATCAGTAAAACTTCCAATGAAGAATTCGATATCTTCATAAGTTTTATTTTATCAAAATGTTCAAAATTACGGCTTCAGTTCATGACCAAGGGAATTATTCAACCACATTATTCCTCCTTCTTCACTCTGTAAGTTCACTCTCGTGTATTTTTTACCTATTCGACAAAATAATCCGAGAAAATTACGTTAAACCAAACATTCAAAGCTCGCGCACATATAAAAACCATTGTATTGCTAGGCGCGAATGGGACCGACGGTTTCCGTTCGTGCGACATTGCCATTATCTCAGCACGGCTTGATAGTTGAAGACGGCTGTGACATTACCCTATATGATTTTATTTCAATTTATTTATGTAACATGTTTGTCAAGTTTTACTATTGTTTGTATTATTATTAGTGTAACATTATTTTAATATTTTACTATTTTATATTGACCTTAGGTCCTGTCGACCTACATGCTTTGTAACCATGATGTATTTTGTCGTTGATTGATATATTACGCTTACGCTGGGAAGATGCCCAACCTGTGTTATTTGCGTGTCGATGCCCCGCTCATCCCCTCGTCTATCGTTTAGCCACTGTGAGGTAGCGACTCCACTAGGCACACAGAACATGTCTGAACTAATTGTACAGATTACTATACTTTTGTACAGAATTACAGATCCCATCCCACCGCGTGCCATCGCTCCAGAAATTTTTGTTTATCCTTGTCTTCTACGATAAGACCCGACCCGCCCGACCGGTTCCGATAAAAACATGTTTGCTACGGTCGGTGAATCCCATGGACGTATATGGGGAATCCGCAATCCGCAACAATAACAACGGGTTGCAAGTATTGATTTTTCCCTCGGTTCCTTGCGGAAGAGGAAAAAACATATTATGATCTCTCACTCAGTTGGGTTCCTACTCCGTGGCGTTTTTTTAAATTCCCTTGTGAATAACTTGTCATACTTTGCTTAGACAATCTCTGCTTAGACCAATATATATGTATATCTGGATGGAAAATCATCTCACGCCTTTTTCGTTGATTATTTTTTTCACTCAATTTGTGTCCATATTAAAGTTTTGAAAAAATGAAATAAAATTCATCATCTATAATAGGCATAATATACAGAGTGAGTCATAACTATTGGAACATATATAGAATTCATTTATTTATTGGATTACAAGAGTTGAAGCTGCAAGCTTATGAACCATTTTTTACAGTATCTAGTTGTCGAAAAATATGAATTCTTTTTTGGTATATTTATTTATTCATTTATTTATTTAATATTAATACATCCAGCAGGCTTACGCCGATTTACAGGTGTATGTAATAATAATATTAGTAATATTAGTTGGATCGCTAAAATAAATATATATCTATATCTATACATAACTCGAAAAAAATATATAAACTGAGATATGTGAAACTAGTTCCTCAAGGCACTAAATAGTCTATGCTTGAATTGAGTCAGCGAAAGAAAAAAAAAAGATTAGAAGAGATAAAAACAAAATCAACAGAAAACAGCTACATTTCCAGTCTATATGCCACGATATATAATCATGAAATCGGCGTTGATATTTTGTGATACCAGTAACTTTTTCTGAGTAGAATCGATTTTGCCGCTCCAGAACAACGGAGTACAGACTACGGAACGCTCAGAATCTCCGCCCTAACAACACAGGGATGTTCTAGGTATACGTACCCCTTATTTTGTCACACGGTACAAGGACATAATTTGGGTATCCAGGGGATGTCCCGCAGTGGTTGTCCAGTGGACATCCGGCCCGGTACATCCATAGGTTATCCTATTCGTGTCCCTGGAATATCTGATATCTATTTCACATCAGAGTCATTGACTTACATCAAAATATTGAGTTGAATTTTCATGAAAATCCGGTAAATAATTGTAATGAAAATAAAGAAAATTGTCTCAGAACTTCTCAAGAAATGACCATTTTTCGCAAACAGAAATCGTAAATGCATAATGCCCCTCATTTTTAAACATCCACGAATGATAATAATAATTATACCCAAATCCTAACAAAGTTGTATTTATTCAGGTTTCTGCAGTTTAGTCCTGTTTAAAAATCTGTTTGGCACATAAATCTTCAGAAGGCATATCAGCCAATGGAGTAAGGTGCGTGCCTGATAAGCTAAAGGTCCCGTGTTCAAACCCTACTCGACCTACATTTTTTTCTTTTGTCGAAGGGATTTCCCTGGAATATCCTTGCGACCCCCTAGGGATATCTTTTCTTCGTTCTTGGTACATCCCAGGGATGTACCAGATGGAAATCCTTTGGATGCTTTTTTTGTCAGCCAGCTGATGTCCATGGGACGTCCCTAGTATGTACTCTGTCCCGACAAAGGATATCTCTGAGATGTCCTTGTATAAAATTAGGGACGTCCCTGGGATGTCCCTAGGATGTACTTGTGTTGTTAGGGCGACAAACGACGTCTTGGCAGCCCTATCGCCGACAAACGCACCGAGTCAGCCGTCCCACAACTCCCACAAGTCAAAGTATAAAATACTTTGGATTGATAGCGGTATACAATTGTCACGCAATGTTCATCGTTTTTCATGTGATAAATATCATGCAGTAATTTCAATAATAAAAATCTCAAAAATTGTACATAGCTCTGACAAGAAAATGATTTGCGACAGTGAATTATAGTTTGATTTAGTAATTCGACATAATGAAATATGAAATTCCACTCAAACAGACCCATTTAGATTCAGTTCTAGGGCAAAATACACTAAGGTGACAACACTGGTCCGGGTTCGTGAATTTCAATCAAATTCATGAGCAGCTTATATATTGATATCCGCTGACCAGTTTATTCCACAATCGCCAAAAATGGAAACATTTATTATTGAGATTCACTCCAATTCGATTTCTATAAACTGTTTTCATGATCACACGTCCGTGATGCACTCGCGTTAGAAGCACATCCAGTACAACTATTACTAACAAATTCGAATTTACCGCCATATTAGTTAAAATCGTACTGATTGATCATGGATTCGATACAAGCGTCAAGCAAGATTATGGATTGTTTAATTGTTCCAAGTCGCACGCCATCTGCATTCCAATAGATTCTCTTCGTAAGTGGCGCACCTGCCAGTCAAATTACGAAGTATTGCTCCGACATCGTTCGACACTATCGCCGCCACTATGTGAGATTTCGAACTATGGTACGCCATCTAGTTGTGAGATTTTTTTGGACCTCGTTTTGCCCCATAAGGTTGGGCATCTTCCCAGCGTAAGCGTAATATATCAATCAACGATTTTGTGTAACAATAAAGTATAATTCTCTCTCTCTCTCTCTCACTCTCTCTCATTTCTGAAGACCTGTTGTAACACTCACCGCCGGCGGTCTGATGGTCTGCGTCTTGTGAGGCGGCGGCGGCGGGGCGTGACTAGGCGCCTGCGGGATGCTGGCGACGGGCGGCGGCGGGGGCGGCGCGTGGCTCGGGTGCTTCACCGCGCCCAACTTCGGCGGCGGCGGCGGGTGGGGCTGACTAGGGGGAGGCTGGTGGAAGGGGGCAGGAGGCGGAGGCGGCGGCTGGGTCGGTATCTGGAACAGTCGAGTCGGATATTCACGATCATTTACCGAATTACAATTACCTAAAGAAGATGCAAAACGACAAATGATTTGGGAAGTCTGTTGAAAAATTGCTTCTCAAGGCATACTATAATTTATTCAATGAACTCAATATAAACAACTGGAAGGGACTCTCTGTGAACGACGAGTGAGGCAAAAATATTGTTCAGGCAACCCGCAGTGTTTACCGCTTATGTTGGCTAATGGGAAGCGCTCGCATTATTTGAAATATTTTCTCGTTTACTGCTTATATTTAAGAGTGGTGTAGTGTAGTGTTAACTCACTTCTCTTTAATGTAGAAAAAACTAAAGTAATGCGATTTCATCATCGGCAAAAACGTTGCTCAAATATAGATATATCTGTGCATGGTGATCTGCTGGGAAATGTTGATGAGTTAACATTCCAGGAATCGGCACAGATGAATGTTTAACATGGAAATACAATACAAATTGATAAAGAAACTAAATTCTCTCTGTTTTATACAATACTTACAGAAGAACAGTTGTTGTTGCTCTATCATGCTCAAGTTTCCTCCCGAATCCGTTATGATATAAATTTTTGGGGTAACTCTATTCTATCCCCGGATGTTTTTATTGTACAGAAAAGAATTATAAGAATAATAGCAGGCATACCTAGTCAACAATCTTGCCGACATATTTTTAATAGCCTTTACATTTTAACTGTCATTGGTGTTTTTTTTGTATTTGAATTATGTGTTTATATATTTTTGAACAAAGAAAAATTCATTACTAATAGGAATATACGTGGTATGAGTACAAGACAATGTGACAATTATCACATTACAATGTGTAAATATGAGATTACACGTAACTCTCCCAATTACTTTGGACTCAAAGTTTCCAATAAACTTCCCAGTCGATTGAAAAACTTCAAAAAACGCAGTCATTTCAAAACGAACTTGAAGCAATTCCTACTGGAAATGAATTCCTATACTTTAGAAGAATATTTTTCGGCAGCCTAGTCTTTTTGTTCCTGTCTCTGTAATATCGAAATATTATCATTTTATCTTATGTCTCTGTCTCAAACTGTCTAGTTTTAAGCCTTCAACCTGACGATTCCTATACATGTAAAAATGTCCAATGGAAAATAAACGTATTGTATTGTATAGTAAACGTGATGAAATAAAAATATTCATATAGGAAAAAGGAAAATGTTGCAATAAATTATCTTTAAAATATATTATTCATTCTTTTATTGACTTAAAAATTAAATTTCATTGTTATTCTTACAGGATTAGGAAGTCAAATGAATACAAAATTGAAATTATAAATTTTCATTCAAATGTCACAATATATTGTACAGGGTGAGCGAAGCACAATGTCTTAGCACTATCAGAAGAAAAAGAAAAACGATAGGAAAAATTTGAAAAGAGGTGTTTTTGAATGGTATTGACTACCTAAGGTCCATTTTGAGCATAAATTTCATAGGTTCCTATTTTTTCCATTAGGTCACTGCCTACAAACATATCCTTATTAGAAATTAAATAAAATGAAATTCTCAGTACAATATCCTTCTCCAATGGGACAGTTTGGGTTTCTTTATTGATGAACTTCGAAACTTGGGAGCTGGAAGTCATAGGTAAAATCCATAATATGAGAAACATCTTCCTTAGATGCATCCTGAAAATAAATTACTAGCTAGTTTTTTATTTTGAAGAGGTGCAAACATACTTTTTTTTCATTATTAATCAACTAGGTACCTATGAGTTTTCTTATTTTCCTTCAAGGATCAGTATTTTTTGGTAACAAATGCTTAGGAAATGGAAATATACTGGGTACAGCATCTGGTTTCAATAACCTAGCAGTACCTGGTATGTCTGAATAAATAATCAGTTGGCAGGAAATGCTTTCCACAAAGCTTGCTGGTTTTAGATGGAGTCCAACTCTCTCTACGAACTGCCTTAATCCATAATTCAAGAATGTCTGAATGGAAAACTGCAACATATAGTATTACTTAATGTGTTTATGGAAAAGTCATGGAAGTATTTAACTTTGACAAATAATATGGGTATAGTTTTTGAACATTTCTGAGACTGGGAACATTGAACACCTAACTGATGATCATTTCAAGAACTATATTTTCCAAAAATCTGAACAATATTCAACTTACCCACGCATGGAATGACAATTTCCTTTTGTCTTGCTCGTTCTTGCATCCGAAGGCTACACAATAAATCACCATTGTTTATCAAAACCTTCCCAACAATCAGTTGACATCAACAAATTCAGTCCTTTTTATAAAACAAAACACGCCAAATGAATAGATATTTCACATAAACAAAGACAATGAACTTATGTCTTCACTTACTTGCCTGTTTAGATGAAAAAAAAAAAAACGTAAACACCAATCCACCATTGAACAACAAGAGTAGGAAAGAGACAGGTTACCGTGAATCATGCTATCTTTGTTGCAGCTGCCCCTGACACACTTTGTGCTATTCGAGAGAACGGCCGTCTCCCTTCCTGTTTATGTTGAGTTCATTGAATTCATTAGTATATTTTATAACAAGTGTTGTAAATATGTAGGGTCGGTAATCTGACAGTTATTGCACGCAACCTATTCGAGATCGCATGATCGTCATGCGCTTCTTATGACAGTTAAAAACAAAGTATGCGGTTATGTGACACATACACCTCGAAAACGGTAAATACTTACGGAAGGAGGCGGTGCGGAAGGCCTGCCGTTCAGCGCAGGCCTCGACCTGGAATTCTGCACGGAGGCGTTCGCCAACGACTGGCTGATCACCGAAGACATGTGCCTGACGGTGCCGAACTTGCTCGCCGGAATGTCTTCGGGACTTTGAGGGGACGGAGACCGCGGCGTTTTGAGGCTGTGCGCCCTGCTGACGGGTTTTCCGTTCCTAGGGTGGAGGTTACTAGGTTTGCCTTGAAAGAAAGATATTTGGAAACAGGGAACATGAGGTCTCGGTCAAAGTCAAGTCTCAAAATTTTGTCGGACAGCCCTGAAGGTAAAGACTTGTTTTTTCATAAATTTACGGAAAACATATGTCTTTCGTTTTTAACTCTCAATGTGAGATGAATATCTCAGGAAGAAGCCAAATGAAACGAAAAGAAGAAGAACCGAAGAAATATACCTGACGGTGCTGAACTTGCTCGCCGGAATGTCTTCGGGACATTGAGGAGATGGAAAAGAAGATATTTGGAAACAGAGGACATGAGGTTTTCATCATTTGGGATCTTTTGATTATTCTACTAGCGAGCTATCGGCCGCTTTTTCATCAACCGGTGATTATACAATCATTAACGTTTTCGCTAGGTTGAAACATGTTTTTCATTCACCAGTTCAAGCATCTGAATCAACTTTTATATGTCATTTAGTATGTTTGAAGTGACGGATAAGTGATCGAGACATCTACCAAAGTCAAAAGTCTAAACATTTTTTCGGATAGCCCTGCAGGTAAAGGCCAGTTTTTTCAGAAATTTACGGAGCAAATGATGTGGCTTATGTAAGCAAATAGAAAATCGTAGGTTATGGTTAGACTTGATCAGTCTTGCATTTTATACTCTCTACCAACTTTAACCTCACGTCTCCACTTGGAACGGGTCAGATGTTTGTGCTGTCTGTTTGCACTACTGGCATAACTAGTATTGAGATGTTTATAATTTCTCAGGTGTGCCCACTCTTCAATTGTTTCGTCAGACTAACTCTCGAATAATTGGATGCGAGTTCAGAACGTGGGGTTCTAATATCAGATGATAGATGGCGTGAACGATGGGCAATTTCTGGGAAACTTTCGAAATGCTTATTATGAAATTGAACTAGACTTTCAAGGATGTGTTTTCCTCCTTTCGGGACCCGAAGAGTCCCGTTGATGATGCACGAATTCAACAAACAACAAATAATCCGTGCGGAAACATCTTGATCCGTTGATAGTGATTAGACATATCTGTCAGAGTGTCACGATTTCGGCCTATTCATGATTTTGTTAAAATTTCAAATAGAAATATGAATTTTTATGAATGACAATTAATTAGAACATTAGTAGTTTATTAAGCAGGAATTAATATTATATTAGGTAGTTGAGTGAGTGGATTGTGCTTTCATCATGGACTGACCATGCTGTGATGTCTGAGGATTACTTGAAAATCCGAACATTCGTTTCATTTTATGTACAAAAAGTGAGTGAATAAACTATCATCACAGAACTTTCTTGTGTTAGGACTTCGTGTCGTTCATGAATTCACCACTGAAAGTCGAAAATATAACGCACCGTTTCCGATTACACAAAAAATTGTGAAAAAGAAAATGTTAACTGCAATGAATGTGTCATGATGCCTGTAAATTTGGTTTGAAACTTCGGAAAGTTGGCAAGATACTCCCACGCCTCGCGACTTGAAAATCTCATGCGAATTTTTTACCTCAAAAGTGTAAGAGTGAGTAAGATGGATACGATATGTCGATATGACTGGTCCTGAATGCGCATGATTCATGTTCTTCGGTCTGATATCCAGAGTGGCATAGATTCTTTCTTATGGCATTAGCGGTCTAGATAGTAGTTCATGTCAGTGGTTTGCACCGACCACTGTCAAATTGAGTGTTATTTGTTGAATGCATTCTCTTTTGTCAATGTCAATTACAATTAGATTGAAAATCAAATGGCACAAAAAGTTGTTTGCTCTTGCTTGATCTTATTTTCAATATTTCATAATTTTCCTAGAGAAAATAATTCTGCTAATGAATAGTAAAACTACTTCATTATTATTAGATCAACCGTTTTTTTTGCATAAAATATAAAATATTTTCAGGAAAACCATAGAATTCAAAATAAAATGTGATAAAACAATATATGTTTAGAACAAATACGACATTCAGCTTATAACTTGATAGGAAGGTGTTTTTAGAAGAGCTTATCAAGTTAATGTATACATTCTTTGTGGTTGAGACCGGTGATTGTGGATTTATTCCAGAGATGATGAGTAGATAATTAGTATACCCCTCCATCGATGAAAACCCAAAGTCATCTCCACAACTTTTATTTAATGATCATAGATCTTATAAGGGAACATGTTTCGGGCTTATATAAGCCCATCATCAGCCAAGAAAATGTAAAGTTATGGAATTGAAAAATGTTGCAATGTGTATACAATAAGCAATAACGGAGCAAGCAAAAGCCATTGCTCCATGATTGTTTATATGATAAAAATGTTTTTTAAAAAATTTTTAATAAAGTTGTAGTATACCTCTGTAAAACCTGAAATGAGATAATATGAATACAGAAATAAGACAAATATCTGTTTATTCAAAATATGCTTCACTTTTTGTGGTAATTTTTTTATACTATGGATTTCTTGGTGAATTCCTCTAAGTTTAGTCTGGTATCCTACCAAAATAGCAGAGCGCTCGATACAGAGCCATAAATATGTGTTTCCAATCAAATTGTTTTCGTTTCTAACAATTCAGGAAGCTATTTTTGAAATAGTGAGCCGACTAGAGATTATTTACATCATTATAACGCAATTTGCAAGTGAATAGGATGAAGTGGAAAGACATAAGAAGTCCCTATGTGCAAAATATCATGAAAAAGAACAAACAAATCGTAACTTACCATTCATGACAGGAGGCTTTGGTGCCAAGTTTGGTTTTCCATGATTGACAACAAGCTTGTTGTGTTGGAATCCATTCCTGTTATCTTCGTTGATCTGCAGCGTGCTCAAATTCGCATTGCTCTTAGCTTTTCTGTGTAAAGTACTGGAATTGATCATCATATTCGAATTCGAATTCGGGGCCAACTGGCTCAAGTGTACGCCGTTTGGGGCATTCTCTTTGTGTAAGAAGGGTTGTCGTGGTGTATTCAGAACTGCAGACCCCTAAAAAAGATACTTAATAGTAGATTGTTTTATTAGGATCAAAAGTGACACTTTGTTTGACAAGCGAATTTTGCATTTGCGAGGCGGAGCGTTTAGCGAAGCCGAGCGAAAGCAGAATTTGCGAGTCGAACAAAGTCACTTTCGATCCGAATGAAACATGCTATTTTTTCTGCAACCGAAACAATTAACTCAAATAAACATGTGAAGTAACCACCGATGCCGTGCCATATGTATGCAATGCAACAAATATTGACAAATAATCCATGTGGTAAGAATATTCTACCTGCATTAACAGCAGGTTAGGTTTTCAAGGATGTTCGAATTGTAGTTTCAATATTAATACAATCACGGAGTGACATATTTGTGTATGGACCAGGTGCTCTAATGGCAAATACCGCGCCAGTGCGGAACAAGACGTGGAAAATGTTAGGTTAGTGAGCATATCAACAATGATAATAGTGGTTATTTATTCCTCTCCATACACTCTGTTTGACTTGATAATCAGATGAAGCTAAACAATATCGTTGTTTGAGACAAAAAACTATTGCTTGCCGTGATTATTCAAAAACAAGTTATCCATCCCGAGAATAACGAATGAAATACAGATCAAGCAAGTATTTGAATCTTGAAAAAATGCTTGGCTGAGATGTTTATAATTCCAATACTAAACTATAATAAGGTGTATTTATATCTCCAGCATGGGTGTGAAATGTCAAATCTGCTGAAATCGGAAACAATTCAGGTATGCGTCTCAACCCGAATAACCAACCGTCACAATGTTGTTTATTCTTGACGACGTCCAGTACATCGTTTTTAGTTCCTAGGAGCTAAAGTTCAACTTAAGCTCCTAGGAACTAAAATTTAACTTTAGCTCCTAGGAACTAAATATATTGCCTAGCAACATACCTATTTTTGTGTCAGTAATAGAAACGTCAATTTAAGAGCTAATTTTGGTATCAACTCTTGTGTCGGTTGCAGAAAAAACATATTCAATGTGACCACAAAAGACCGGAGCCACTTCAGAAAATTCACAAATTTCAAATGCATTTTACATTCATTTTACTTGATTTTTTTGTGAATTTCTGCTTCACCAATCAGGACATGAAACGTAAAAAGTTTGGTTGTGAACACCGCTTTACCCTAGTATGAACAAACAATTCAAACTTACATTTCTATTTGGTGCAGGAGGCGGAGGTCCCCTGTTTCTGTTCTCGTTCACATTTGCCAGCTGTTTTTTCAATTCCATCTGTATACTACCAAAATTCTTCATTGGAGACACCACATTGTTTGAAGACATGTTTGGAGATATACTGTTATTAGAAGAGTTATTTCTAGCGGAAGTAGAATTTTTTGACGCACCTAAAAATTGTGAAGGAATGTTCTTCAGAGTTTCCACTATATTTCATGGATATTATAAATTATCGCGGACCAAAATATCATATTAGATGCATCAAATCCATTAGACATTATTTTATATTGAATTGAGAGTTTGAATTAGAAAAGTAGAATTGAATTTGCATGTTTATGATTATTGACAAGAATTATAAATTATTCATAATAGTCGATCCAATCGTGATCCAATCCACTTTTCTTTCTATTGAGGAATTATTTATGTTTATGGAATTTATTCTAGCAAGCATAAAAAACTTAAATAATTAATTCTGAATAGGTAACATTTCTATAGAGAAATGTTACCTATTTAGAATTAATTGGAATGGAAATAGTACCAACAAATCGAATATTCAGATGTTTTACCAGAACACACCATTTTTTAAATTCTGGAATCATACAGTAAATTTGCCATCATATAATATCATTGAATCTAAATTTACATAATCTTTTTTTTTGCATTTATGGCAATTGACTTGTAGGTAGGTGTAAAAGGCTACATACTGTAATAATGGGTTAACAAACTAGGCCTGTAACTATTTGAAGGATGCATTTGGAAATAACCAATGTATACAATCAAATATCTCTGACGCTTTTCAAAACTGACGGAAGTTTTGAAACGCTAAAGTGAAATATTACATAACTGGTGATGAAATGTTCATTTCAACACCGGTTACTGTTGTGCAGCTTCCTCAACCAGTTGGCAAATCTGAATTTGAATCATCCATTTTCCGCTAATGGAGATATCAAACAAGTCTATTTCGTGAATTTCGTCGCTGATTTTTGACCATATTATTGTTTGACGGATACTGCAAAGTGACGGGCGAAGTTTTTTTGCGGGATCTCACTTCGCTCGTCCCGCAAGATCCCATCGTTACGAAAAATGACGTCGTCGCGTGCAAGTAAGATCATTAAATTAAAGATCAAAGCAAGTTACGCCCGAAATACATACAAACATTATATGCACGACCGGTATATTTGATTTTTCATTGTGAATACCTCTTGCTGCAGTGAGGAATACTATTGATGGAATTGACGTTATCATGGTAACTCAGTCAATTTCTTGAAATAATAGACTATTAACAGAACACCCTAACTACACAGAAGCGTAAGACCGCCTTCCCGCCGAAACTTTATCTAGAGCGCATGTGCGAAGATAAGAAACGAACGACCTATGCTATTACAGACTCCAGCAAGAAGGAAAACAATGATCGAATCGATTAACTGAATAATATGCTGAAAGTAGGTGAGCCTAGAACAATATTAATTTCATTCAACTCAAATTTGCCGCTCAAAAGCGTCAGAAGTAATACTATGCAGAGATTCAAGGTCACGAAAATTCGACCCATGGAGATCAAAGTAGCGCCTTTTACTTACGCGTCTGTGTCGGTAGAGTGTTCTGTCTTGTTACATTCGCTTTCAATTAATCTTATTACAGATAATAATGGGTTTGATCATACGCTCACCGGCAAAAAAAAACGGCCACCAAGAAAATTGCCAGAATTGTTCACCCTGTAACTTTTTCAATCCTTGTCTGATACTTGTGAAATTTCGATCACATCGTAGATTCATGTTCCGGAATGTTAGCCTGAATATTATTTTCCTCAAAAAGCTGATGACTTTGGGAAAAACCAAAGTCACCATTTCACCCTTTATTTCTTAACGCCCTGTGGCAAAATTGAGTGGTTGAACTCGGTTTCATTATGCTTCGGATTGAAGTGTGATGATTTTCAAACAAAATAGTTACTGAATCATGGCAATATCTAATTTTTAAGAGAAGATACAAGTGTTTTAAGAGAGTATTGCATTTTTCAATTTTCATTAACACTCGTATTAACAATTTGAAGAATTAATATCACATATTTCTACCTCATTTTCTTAGCAGTTACAGAAAAAATATCAATTTCAAAAAACAAATAACAAGCAAACCAGTAGTCAATAACGAATCATTGAACGAGGCCATAGATTAAGACGAGGCATTCAACCGTCGTGGCATAGAGTTGATCAAATTTCTAAAGTACTTAGTCTTGAAGAATCGCCTAAAATTTTCCTCGAAGGGCGAATCTTAGCTCTTGACATGACCGAACTAAGGTGAATAAGCCTCTGGAGTTCATTCCCAAGAGGCTCTGTAAGTCCTGAATTATTGTTAATGAAAATTTAAAAAATACTTTACTTTCTTAAAACACTAACTTGTATCTTCTCTTAAAATCTGGTAATCGACGAAAATCAGGAACCATTGTGTCAAGAAGTAATCACACTTCAATCCATAACATAATGAAGCTCAGTACAACCACTTACCTTTGCCACAGGGCATTAAGAAGTAAAAGGTGAAAGAGTAAGTTTTGTTTTTCCCGGTATAATGATCAAGCCATCAGCTTTTTTAAGGAACCTATATCCAGGCTAACATTCCGAAACATGTATATACGATTTGGTCGAAATTTCACCGAAATCGGAAAAAAAATCAAAAAGTTATAGGGCGAGCAATTTGTCAAAATTTTTTGGTGGCTGATTTTTTTTGCCGGTGAGTGTATCATTTTGCATCTCAGAAATATCAAGAGAACTGTAATATTAGATAAGGAACCATCACAAATAAAACAGAATGTCCTGAATTATACAGGAATGCCTATTACAAGATATTCATACGCCAGGCGGTAAAGAAGTCCACGGGCGGTAAAGTGCGGGCGGTAAGGTGCTACTTTACGCTCGGTCGTGCATAAATATCCATTACATATGGGCGGGCGAGAGCAAAGAATAAAAAATAGATTCAGATATTCAAAAGCAATTACTCAAACAAAAAAATCAGTTGTTCGATTTCCTGAACACCCACATTTCACGTTCAAACACATTGTTTCACTATTCACTATGCTACCTATCACAAATCAACCTGGAAATACGTGGAAATATTATCTTACCTGCGATCATAGGTGCACTCTTATCATTAGTGACAGCTTTCTTCAATTTAGCTCCTTTCTGTATAGATTTTAGCAAAGCATCCCTATCATTAGAATTTTTCGGGGGTTTGAATATGGGAGGTGGTCCCGAAGATCCCATTGGAGGAGGAGGAGGAGGAGGTGGAGCAGGCATCTTTGTGAGCTGAGAAAATACATCAAACTTTATAAAGTTGTGAACTCTGAAAATATGATAACCCTGAATATCTTCAGACATATGTATACCACTCAATTTAATTGTTTTCAACTTGGTGAGGTGTCCCTTTTTTATTGTATCCAGTGTTCACAACTGAATGTTATTTTAATCTCACAATTGCTCATTTTACTGGCCATATACATAAGGAGGGCCAGTATCGGTATCTCGGAAAAAGTACACAATTGAAGAGCCAATAAAATAACTGGAAAAAAACTAAATTTCTGGATTTTCAAATTGTTTTCTGGCGTTGATAATGAAGTTAGGACAAAATTAATAGTATATTATTAAACGAGCGGTAATGTAGGTCATAACTCACGCAGATGAAGTTTGCAGCACGAGCCACAGGCGAGTGCTGTAATTCATCAAGTGAGTTATGACCATTACCGCAAGTTGAATACTATACTTTATCTACGACTATTACAATAAATCCTAAGTTACAAGTACAGAGAAAGAACTTTATTGACAAATCTTGATATACTTAATACAAATTTTAGATTCAATCACTCGCATATTGTTTATTGAAAAAATTAACTGTGAAGTTAACAGTAAACTGAATATGTTGGAACTGAATTATGGAAGTTTATTGTTTCTTTTTGTGTTTGTTGCATATATGTTGTTGATGTACTAACTGATTGAGCTGTAATAGAACTGTATATTTCATTTGCAGTATCTGTCTTATTCTTTTCGGAATCATCAACGTACCCCTCAGCCACAGTAGTTGATCGCCAACCGCCATGGCGTTTCAGTGCCGTATGGCATCTATTAATAAAGTTGCCGACGAGCGGCGAAAACAATGCCCTGTATATAAATTACAGTCTGGTAATTTCAGAAATGTGGCAATGTCTTTCCCCATTGCTCAACATTTTTCAATGCCATTCTTTGTGAGTGATATTTTCCATATGGAAATTCAAATGATAATCCATCTTCACTATCTGAATTCATCAAAAAAATCACAATAATTGTATCAGCCTAGTTTGAAAACGTCAAAATTATTCAATTGACATCACTCTCCTCAATAACAATAATGGACTGTTCCCTTTCGGCCAACTGGCTTGTACAAAAGTACTGAGCCATCTTGATTTTCGGTTCGTAAATAATTCCAAGAGCCTTTCTCGATGTAAGTATTATAGTGAGTTATAGTAGCGAGAGTTATTATAACTCACGCTGTTTGTTTATAGATACTATTAATTGTACAAAGGCAATTGAATCATTGATATATAATTTAATAGGAGTAGATAAAGAAATATCTTTATGGCAACTTATGATGTTACCCAATTTGACATCAATTTTTTGATCGAACATTTCGTTTTTGAGCAATCATCATCATCTCAATTTTTTCGAATACTGCCCTGATATCAGATTCGAATAGCCCTTTCGACGGTATGCTACACATCATGGCTTTGATGCGTTTCGAACCTATTTTGGTCATCATCAAATTTTTGGAATATTGACCTGAATTTACGAAAAATAGTCATTTATTATACAAGGCACTACACTGTTTTAATCTTCTCCTGAAGATGCTGACATAGTTAGCGAAACACGTGTCGAGGCGTTAAAAAATCGGTTTGGTTAGTGGTAATACAGTGTAGTGTAAAAATATTTTTCTATTATGGCGACTAAAAGTAAAAAGGAGCTTGTTGCTGAAAGTGCGACAATAAAGAAGCAACAATTGATGGGGAAGGAAGCTTTTTTCTGTAAAACAATTCTCAGAACTGAGGTGAAACGTGTAGAAAATGAATGTTCAAAGCTGACCAAACCTGTTCCAAGTCTTCCATTGGGGTTTTCATCACATATTGAGCGCACTGAAGATGAAGAATGCAATAAAAAAATTACAAAAGATATTGACTATCCCTGCCCTGTTCCCAGTACCAGCAGTGGAAATAAGACATCTGAAGAAATTTATGTAGAAAATACTTGATACTGATGATTGCTTCTCACAAGTTTTTTTTTTCATAAAAAACCGATTAACCTTCAGGATTGAAGGGTCAAATCAAAATTCACTGGACCTGACACCACTGGATTATTTCTTTGGGTCATTTAAATGGAACAATTTACAGATACAAACTGCACACAGTAGTAGAATACCAAGGCATCAGCGTGATATATGCCCACAGTGAGAAAAAAATACTCCTTGTATAGTTAAAAAGTATGATAATGGTATAACTTGGACGAATATCTGGGTTAATGTGAATCATCAAATTCTTGACCATAGGCAGAAAAGTATCTTATTCATGATAACACATGAAGCATATGAATTTCAGGTAAATTTATTTCGAGTAAAGAAATCACCGAGTGATAAATGTAAACAGTGCCGACTTATGGTTGATACACTGAAACACAGGTTTCTATGTAATAAACATGTGAGATATAGTTCGGTCTTTCTGTTAAAATTTACATCATGGATATCTAAAAAGTGCATGTCATTAGAAAACATATTGAAATTTCATTTCAAAATTATTGATAAGACAGCCAACGCTGCTGTGATTTTCGTTATGGTATTCAGTATAATGTATGTATTAGAAGATCCCCAGACTTGTACGTACTCGGAATATAAGGAAACCCTATTGCATCATTCACAGCTAGTGGTACCACTTAGGAGTTTACCTAATTTAACTAGAATTTAAGACAAAATTTGTAAATAAGTTGTTGAATAAAGTAAAAAAAAAATAATAACATGGAATATTTTGTATGTAATTTGGTTCACAACGATTTGAGTGGGTTCTGAATCAAATGATGCTTTTATCATTTCATTTTGCGAGCTTTGATTTACAATGCCCTCTAGGTTTTTTCTGCCCAGTCCGTCCCTGTAAATATGCATACCTTGCTTTCAATCAACACACTTCTTCTTCTTCTTTTTTTCAAATTGTCTCACTGTAGTTGTGTATTGATCTCCCTAAAATACATTCGAGACATGTTTTTAGATAGATTCTCGATTGTTTGCCACGACAATAAAACTGTCATACAATTGAACATGTATTTATCGATAAAAACATTATCTCTTATGTGGTGCTTAGTAGGTTCATCTCAAATTTGATGCAATTATCTACAACAGTATTGTAGTTATGATAAAAAAACGAATTTTTTCTAAACTTTAACACCCCATAACTCGAAAGTTAAGAGGTTTAAGGCATATGTTCATATGAACTTTTTTTCCTAAAATGAGCTGAGGAACCATTTCCTATATTATTAGCCATCGATTTAATTACACTCTGTATAACTGAATAGATGCACAGATCCGTCAAAACTATTCCATGCGAAACTGATGAAGGATTCAGGATATGTTCAAAAGATTGCCACTCATGTCCGTATTCCAAAAATTACTTGATAATGGCCAAAATTAGCTCGAAACGCATCAAAATCATGATGTGTAGCATATAATCATAATAAAAAGGGCTTCTCGCATCTGATATCAAAATATCCATATATCTACTACTCATATATGAAGCATAGCTGTCCTCAAAGCGGGACCAACTTCTGTCTCTATAGGTAACGAAACTTGTCAAACCGATATGGCTGTTTCCATCCTTCACTTTCCGTCCTTGTAGATTCAAAAAGTACCTCTCATTTTGGTCCCATTTCTGTTGAGATATCGTATAGGGGATGCGCTATATATAGAAATAGTGAATATATGAAGATATCAGGTGGCTCAAAGACAGAACGTTGGATCAGAAAATCGATCATGTCAAGTTAATAAACATCAAAAGTTGCAATGATAGTTATTTATTATACAAGGGAAAAAAGTAGTAGATTTTAGCTCCAGGTTGTGTTGTCTCCCGACGCGTAGCGGAGGGAGACAAAAAACCGTGAGCTAAAATCTAATATTTTTCCCGTGTATAATACACTATTTTTTTCTGTGACAGAAGGATGGACGAATCAATATTGAGAAGATATTACATTATTTCGAAATCTGAAAATTATCGACGTGAAATTTCAAGTTTTTAACAGTAGGGACACCTGCGTTTTATAGACATCTTTATTATTCTTTTGAAGTAATCAAATATCTGATGTCACTTCTGTCAGTTCAATTCTGTAATTTGATTTTGAAAAATTGCGAATTCAGTAGTTGTTTAGTAATATACGAAACCGCGAAGTCGAATGGAAGATAAAAGGACTTGCAGTTCTTTCTCGGAGACGGTATTATATTGACTCATTTTTTGGAACTATAGCACAACAAAAGCCATTAACAGAGTATATATATGTGATATATATCCGGGAAAGAAGTACTCACTTTTTGCCCACGGGAAAAAAGTAATTTATGAAAAGTGACATTTTATAACCTGCCAACAGAGATGAAATGCCAAACTTTTTTCCCGTCACGGAAAAAAGTATTTTTTTGGTTTCGTTATGAACTAATTATCAACGCCGGAAAAAAATTGAATTATAAAAGCGGAAATTTTGTATTTTTGAAAATAACTCAAAAACGAAGTCATATTGAAGATTATCATTTTATTTGCAATTCAATCGCGCAACTTTTTTCCCATTCAACCAAATCTGTATCTCTCGTAGTTTCCGAGATGTATATACTGGTCCTCCTTATCTTGGACACTGTGTATACACAGATGGATTAATTAAGATTAAGAGATGATGAATAAAAATTATTGGTATATTCGTTAACCAATGAAAAATCTAGCTAGGATAATATGTTCATCATAATCTATGGGTATCTCTAACTTTTTTCCATGTGTGTATCGCTACCAGGTGAATCAATAATCATTTCTAGAAAATTCAAATAATGATATAGGTGCAACACCATAAAAACTGAAAATAGATTCATCATCTTTTCCTGACTTCGTCAGAGTTGATTAGTCATGTGCTGTAGCTTGTTTACCAAAGGTTGAACAACTTTGATGCAATGACCATTATACAGGGTGTCCCGAAAAGGTCTTTACAAAAACTTACCACATATTCCTCAGACCAAAACAAATAGATCAGAGCAAAATAAAAAGTATAAAGTTGCTTAGTTCGAGTGCTAGACAGCTTTGAAGCTACAATGAGGATATAGTAGTTTACCTAACAAGTGCGGAAAAGTGAATCTTTCAACACTAAAATGAGTGCGGAAATGTGGAATTTTCCGCACGCTATAGTAGACAAAATATTTGGCATCTAAAAACCTAGTGAAAAACTTCACAAACGATAAGATTTCCACAAGTTTCTTAACAACACCAGATGTTTCCCTAACACAGTAGCTTCTTCAAATGAAATACTCGTGATACTCGTAATAGGTACATACATTGAATTTTATTGGCCTACTTTCCAAAAATGAAGGCTTAACCAACCATTCCACAGGTAATATTACTCCTTTAGGTTCGGAAAATACAATTCAAGAGATAGGTAGGTCATTGTACCAACCTCCTTTCCCTATCCTCCCTAAGTACGCAAGATGTTCTTCGAACATTATAGAAATTTCCTGTTCGTGCGCTCCAAGAGATAAAAACCAACGAAACATGTCGTCTTGTTGAGAATTGTTCGTAATCCCATACTGTTATTTTGATTCAACGGTATTCAGAGGACAATAATTGAAATGTTAATGTTAACAGCCTCCATCCGTTAAGATTGTTTAACGGCCAGCGGCCGTTATAATATAATGGGCGTGTGAACTGATGATGAATTATTGGCATTCAATTACTTCACCGTGTTGTTAGGAACCTTGATCAATTTTTGCAACACTTCTCACGATTTTTCAAGTGAATAATGATGCTATGCATGCGTTGTTCGAAATTGATGAATTCCAAAGCTCATTTCCCTTCATGGCCGCCATTTGGCGATACGTCGAATAAATGGTGACGTCAGTTTTTATGCTGTTCCGTTATTGGTCAGATAATCTTTCATTCCCACTCATGAAGCTAGGTTGTCAAGTCACCAATTATAAACAAGTTATCAAAAAGATGTTACGAGTCCCATGATGTTATAGTTCATTATTGAATTTTTCGAGCAACCAGCATGTCTTATTCTCAATAACAAAATATCATATGAATGTTGGAGACTTGGCAACATTGTGCTGAATGCTGAGAACTGACAAGACCACGCCCACAAGTCGTTTGCCGGGTTGTCACGTTCACCGATTCGAATGTCCTCTGCTGTGAATTAATATTACAAATCATAAAGGGAACATTTTGAGACAAATTCCCATTCGTATTTCAAAACTTGGCAACTGTGCTATGGTCTACCTCTACTTACGAAATCGTGGCGTCAATTTCTACTGCTGCTAAATTTCTAGCCGTTTGAAAATTACTGTGGCATTATTGAGGATTTAAGAACTTAAAGATCGACCGAAAAAACTATTTCACGATCAGGAGGCATGAGAACCATTTATTATAAATGAGTGATTTATGATGACAGCTACTGTTTTCGCGATAAGCACACGTTGTCTCTGGCTTGTATAATTGGTCAGATTATGTGATGAGTGAAATAGTCAAATACATTCCCAAATTGGTCCAGTGATCACTAATTCATCAGACAAAAATTACTCTTGTGTGGTCACAATTTGTTACTAATTTAGTACTAATTTATTACCCTTCATTCAACAGAAAAAAACAACGGCTCTGCTATCTTTATTTCAAATATACTATAATTGATTACTGTCCAATTACTAACTTATAATTAACATATAATAACATTCCATGGAAAGACGCCGATTTGTCAATCTAGATCTCAACCTAGCAGAACCAAAACTCTAATCACATGTTACTTTGACTTCTTTTGAGTCATCAATAAGTTACTAGTTTATTACTAATGTAAGGCCACATTCGCAAATTTGCCACCATTCTTTCATCAGAAAAAACCAACGGTTCTGCTAGCTTGAAAAAAAACAGGCTTCTAGAAATCACACAGGCCTTCTAATAACTACATATTATATTTTTTCTTGGTGACAAGTGACTTTAATACAGGAGTGATCTTTGATGCATAAACTTGTACTTGTACTTGAAAGGGATGGGAATGATTTTGAAATGATCGAATTTTAAGAATTGAACATGACTGGATCCAATTCCAATATTTGCCTGCAGATTTGTATCATACATTCAAGCTTTATTATTGCAAAACATGAGATATGTATCATTTCATTATTATTATATTGATAAATACTACCACATATGAGGAAAGTATAAAATCTTAGTAGAGGTAGTCATTTGACATAGGAAGTTTGGTGTATGAGCTGGAGGAAGTTCTGGGAATTCTGAAGAACTTTTGAGGTAATTTGAAGAAGTTTGAGGAAGTTGGAATTTTTGGTGTACAAGTTTTTGGGCAGTGATTACCTCCTGGAACTCAGATGACATGTAGTGTGGTAGTAGGTAGGCCTAAAATTGTCATAACTTGAGAATTCTATGTTTTTAATAATATGAAATCATAGAAATAGTAAGTTTTTCTATACAACAAAGAATTAGTCAGAATTGTGTACACTCCCGGATTGTGGTTGGAATGTGGACTAATTATTACCCAAGTTGTAATAATGAGTAGGTTAGTAGGTATTATGTTGTTTGTTGTTTGAATCCATTTGAATTCTTCTAGCAAATATCCAATATTCAATTTGATAAGAAGATTAGCTTCCTCCTTTACCTATGACTAAATTCAGTGACTTAATTCCTATTATCCACTTTCTCAACTTGAGCAATATGAATAATGATATACAATATTTATACTTTCATGATCATCAGATACACACAGTATGAGCACTATGGAACCACAGAATCAAGAATTATCCTCTTGAAATTAAAAACAACTAATTGCTATTTTAACAAACAAATGATTTCGTAAAAGCTGATGATTGAAAAAATCACAATAGAGCAATGTCAGCTGACGTCACAATATGGCGCACTCGTCGTTTTTATCAGCTGATCGGGGGACAAACAAAGCTGTGTGTGAATTTTGATTTTATTATTTCTGGCCCATTGGTGATTTTGTTCAACTTCTAGATATAATACGAGAAGAATGTGTACATTTTCTTCCAAAATGAGTATCTATTGAGGTATATTACGAGGTATATTAGGTATATTCGAGCTGAACTCAAGTAAATCAAGTAATTTAAAATTGACAAATAAACCAACTTGAACTCTTCTTTGGACTCATTCACTTCTCTCACAGGATTCATGATGAATGAATTAACAAACATGTCAATAAATAAATGCTCCAGGTATTGTATTTTAGTGGTAAATGTGCAAGAAAGTTACATGTACCCTTATGGAAAATGTGTATGCTTGTCCCCCCATCAGCTGTTCAACGGCCGACAATTTTACGTCATATGACGTCACTGACAATGCTCTATTTCCAAAAATAGGCATAATACCACACAGGATGAGTTGAGTGGTTGAACACAAGAAAACATACCTATGTACAACTGGAGAGATGAAGGAAGACCGAAGTATTTAACTATTCAATAATACATTTGATCGATACTGGAATTATAGAACGAACCCATTTCACTACAAATAATTATCACTTCAGAATTCTTATCAGTATATTAATATTATTATTATCCATACTACAATCGTCAATGAAAATTCCACATTCTGAGTTCTGACACTTCTGACTGACATACACAATAATGACATATGACATTATGATTATGACATTAATAATAGTTTGAAGTTTGATGGTGACAGTGACGTCTGTGACCAGTGACATAAACTGACATTGACAAAAGTGACGAGTGGTGTCATGTCAATTATTGTCAAGTTGTGGTGGTTGTGTCATGGTTGTGTGAGGTTGGTAATAATGATATTGATGCTGACATTGCTGACTGGTGGTTTTTGCGTGGGAGGTGGGAGGAAGATGGTGAATGTTGAGTGCGTGTCAAATTTGACGTACAGAGGGGCATAATAATTATATTAATATCATATTGTTCAACAATGTATTAGTTATAAGCAGTTCTTGAATTAATAATTGTAACGAAATCGTTAAATGTTATCCAGCAACAAAGATTTTTGTGATCATAAACAGATTTTCATGAAAATGTGATATAGGATGTTTTTCTAGTTTTGTTTTTGCTGAAAATTTGATGTACTCCCTAGGTAAGTGCAGTTTTATAAATATTCTAGTATAATATTCATATCACCTCAAGTTCTTGTTAGTTTTACCGACTTTTGTCATGCTAACATCCAGTTATTGAATTCCAATATTCATCATATGTCCAGGGTACTCCACCTTCCTTTTGATCCTTTATCCTACAGTTCTTTTCGATTTATTGAAATGATCTCAAATTTGAGAATGCAACCATCATAAAATGTACCAATAATAACCCATGGGTAGGTATAGATAGGGTTGGGTATTTATAGGTGGCATGTCAGGTAGCACCAAAGATCTACTTGGTTCTAATGCACCTAACCATTGAATATTGAATATCGTGTTGAAATTCGTCTGAAAATCTCGAGGAAATTCCATAATTTTCATTTAAAAGAATATTTTGCTGCCATTTGGTAGGTGGATTGACTGCTTACCACAGGTACAGATACTTACTTTGTATGCTGCACCAAGGAAAGTACTTTCTAAACATTACAGAATATTATCCTATATTTTATGAGTTGAAAAGTGCTCAAAATTTACTAAAAAATCAGTTTAATTCACTGGAAAATAAAGGTTGTGGACTTCTCATAAATATGCACAGAATATGTGAAACTATTATGTGCCTAGATAAGATAGGTAAATGATGAATTAGTTATTCTTTTGACTCACCTGCTATGAGAAATTTCAATTCATGTTGATATCTTATTACTTTCTCAAGAAGTTCAATACAATCTGGAATAAAATATAATTATAAAAATAAAATAAATTCTGTCTTACCTGCTATGAGTAATTATTTTTCCTAATATTTTATGAATATATCCTATCTGAGTATTCTGTATATAATCAAGGATCCTATATAAATTCATTTCAGCTTCATCAATACCATCATACATTCAAACTATTCAATGTAGGTTTTCTGAAGATCAGCAAGAACCTATATAAAAATGAATAAAATGTAGATATGAAAGCTATATTTTCATTCATTTATTGAACTCTTGAGCCCTATTGAACTATCTATCAAAGTTAATTATAACAAGGTAGGTCTAGGCTACTTACTTCACTCAATATTTTGGATCACTTGGTAATCATCATTTAACCTTATCATTGAGTTATTTTTTATGTTATTTATTGGCAATAACTGCTGCTACTTTTTCACTGCTTTATTTTATTTTGAACTGATAGCATAGGTATGCCAGAGTGTCCTTTTGATAAGAATTGCATTCTATAATTCCAGAGGTAGATATACAGAGGGTTAGGATAAAGTATGGAAACAGGTGGATATCTTGGTAACCTTTTGTTAGATTTTTTGAATTTATGTACAGATTTCAAAACGTGGCGGATTTGAAAATGTTATGAATGTTATCATCAATGTGGCCACTTTTTCTGTTATTCCGGAACTATTATTAACTTCCTTATTTTGAATAGAACACCCTGTGTTTTATTGAATTTTCAGATTCTCCCTGAAAAGCTGATTTCATCTATCACACTTGAGGTCTAGTGGGAATGATTACAGAGATAAGGGTTGTGAACAATCGAGGTTTTTCAATTATAGGAGTTTTTTCTGTCAAAACTTCATTATTGGTCAAATTAGCCCTCATGAACGAATATAGGGTGGTTATTAATTATGAAAAACCCAATATTGATAGTAAATCAAAATAGGAACATGAGAAATACCAATATATACGGGATAATATTTTTCGTTTTACATTTTTTTCCGTATATCAATGATTTCAATCAATTTTCATTGCCTAAAGTGCTGGGAAAAAGTGCACATTTTACTGAACATTATCAATCTTTAACGTTTCCAATTTTTCCATTCACTTTGTAGATTCTGCTATGGTTCTCTAACAGTTTTTACAATGTTAACGAAGTTCTGGAGGTAGAGAACTGCAGGACTCTTGAAGAGATTCATTATTTTTCATCTAATTAGGAATAGGCCAGTAGACTATTTTTTTTATTTCTCCGAGTATTTCTCAAATACAATCATTACTCAATTACCTTTCAATTCCATATTATATTAGATTTTTCGTTCGATTTTGAGGTGTTTAAATCATCGATATTGACACGGTAATTTTCAAACGGCTAGAAATAAAAACTGACGTCACGATTTCGTATGTAGAGGCAGACCGTAGCACAGTTGCCATATGTTGAAATACGAATGGGACCTTCAAAAATATTAGTTATTTAATAATTCATAAATTCTCAATTATTGGTAATATTCTTGTAATTTTCTCTCATATGCTGTGTCTCATTGCAAAATATGATGAATTTGTGTAAATAATGATTATATTAATTCACACTAGAGGAGATTTCGTCCGGTAAACGTGACAACACTCCTGTGTTGTCAACGGTTGCGTTGTCTTGTCAGTTCCCAGAGTTTAGCACAGTATAGCCAAGTCTCTAGCATAGCCAACAATTACATGATGTTTTATCATGGAGTGCATGAGAAATATTTTGACAAGCGGTTATTCGAAATAGTCACAAATTGATAACTATAATAGCATGGCTTCCTCTTGTTAAGTCAAATGAAATATTTAATTTGGATATAGTATAGTTATTCAACGACAGGGCTCAGACAACTTTTTAATAACTTGATTATAATTGGTGACTCGACAACCTTGCTTCATGAGTGGGAATGGAAGATTATCTGCTGACCAATAATGAAACAGCATAAGAACTGACGTCACCATATTCGACGTATCGAAGAATATGGCCAAATAGCGGCCATGACGGCACGTTTGAAATGAGCTCTGAAATTCAACAACTCTGAACAACGCATTGACGCATTATTCATATCAAACACGCGTGAGAATATTTGCAAAATACAGGGTGTTTCAAAAAAACCTAACCCCCTTGCTAAGGTAGGTAGTACTTTGCAAAATAGGTTGGGTTTGCTCAGTAAAAAAATGTAACGCCATCCGTTTTCAAGATACAAGGTGTTGAAACAATATTTTTTTTACACTTACGATTATGTTGAAATTACTGGCAACATTGTGATGACATTTTGTATGGATGTTTCTTGGAATGCATTGCATTGATTTAACAATGAATCACAAGAATAACATCGAAACAGATTTGACTAAGAACATGGATTACACAGTTTTGTTGTATCTTGAGCAGAAAGTCTATGCTACATCGGTAAATTCACGTCAAGAGTTGTGAGACATAATTAAACATCACTCAAATGACCTAACAGCTGATCCTCAACTGTTCAGAAGAATAATCCATTCTTAAGACAAGAATATAGAATCGTGTATTCCTCGAAACGTAGGACATTTTGAACACTTACTCTAACTGATTCAATATTTTATGTTTCTAGTCAAATATCTCTCAATTTTCTACTCATGATTCTTTGTTCCATCAATAACTTCAGCACAAGAATAATTTTATTTTTTTTGAACCTGAATAAAAAGGTAATTGAACTCAATAAAATTTATTTTTTACCATCATCATTACTACTCCATTATTTTAAAATCGAAATATTCCGAAAACGAAACCACAGTTGAGAGAATATTGTATATGTAATATTCTCTCAACTGTGACGAAACATAGTATCGGGTTTCACCAGGAGTACCCTTTTGGTGTAAAATTGAATGATGTTCAAGTTCATATCATATTTGGATTGAAAAATCTAACCCCAAAAAAGTTATATTCAAAACTACTCGGTACGAAACGTGTAACTAGCGCCCTCTATGAGAGTCAGATCGGAGTCAGATATCAAAACAAATTCATGCGATGTGTCGGATTTCAAGAAACATCCATACATGATTTCATTACAATGTTGCCAGTAGTTTCGGAATAATCGTGAAAAATGTGTGAAAACATAATTTTTTCAACACCTTGTATCATGAAAACGGATGCCGTTACGACATTTTTTCACTGAGCAAACCCAACTTATTTTGCAATTTTCTACCTACCCTAGCAAGGGGGTTAGGTTTTTTGAAACATCCTGTATAATTCAGTGAAGTAATTTTCACTTATAATTAATTACACCAGAGCTCTTTTTTTGTCCAAGTAAACTTGACATGTATCAATAAGAATTTTGTTGCCTGGCAATTTGACGAAAAAAACTGCCTCTGAAAAGATTACGAGTCCGCAGGACGAGTAATTTTTTCTGGCAGTTTTTTGAGTTGATTTACCTGATGGCAACAAAATTCGAATTATAAATGTCAAGTTTACTTCGACTAAAAAAAAGCTTGAGTGTGATTCGGTAACACAATTCAATTCATCAAACATTTTGTTTATGGCTGGTTGTCATGCTTTCAAAAGTTAGGTTCCGTTATCGTCGCTGAAAAAGTTAGGGCAAACTTTTTTCGCTGTCATCATAATGACAAAATCACGCGACTTGTGGGATTTTTCATACATGAATTAAATTGTCAGTGAAATAATTTTCATCAGAAGAAAAGTTTCTGAGGTCAGGCAGCATTGCAAACATAGACCATATAATGTAATGGTTACACGTCGGTTTACACTTTACACGTATCTCTACACCCTGTGTCAGTTTTGTTCTGTTGATTTTCAAGAATAAAAAAAAATGATGACTGCTCCAACTTTTTCATTTAAGTTACATATTTTTTGTGCAAAATCGATATGCAAGTTCATTAGTAGTTCTAGTTTAGTTTAGTCTTTATTGTTCCATTAAGATGAGCTTAAAAAAGCAATTGGACAAGTCAGTACATTATGGGTGGCATTGAAATAAGTGCAAATATTTCAAACACTGAGAAAGCTTGGCGTATACTATCGAATGGCACTTATAAAAAAATTCAGGGATCAAAATAAAATTTGAGGTTAGACCCCTTTTTCCACCCAAAGTTCTAAACTGTAGAAAATCTGACGTCACCTCTGTACAAATTTCCATGCGGTAGGCACAATCAATCATTGAAATTGTTTTAATCGCGAATTTTGTTCAATTTTTGGGATAAAATTTCTCGTTAATTAGAAGAATAAGAAAAAATATGATATGAATGAATGATGAATATTCCTTAGACTGTATCATATTAATGTGCTGAATATGTGCATTTATTTCAAAAACACCTTGTATATTGTTCTTTTTTTATTTTTAGTAATTAAGTTACTGGATCTTACTTTTACCGCTACCTATAATTTTCTTATTGTTCAACCTATTCTTAGCTGTATGACCTCATGAATATGTAGATTAAGATCGAGGTGAAGATATATGAGTAGGTATAAGTATAATAGCATTAGATGAGAAAGAAAGAATTATTTTTTGAATTCTTGTTGATATTGTATTTCATCCGTTGCGATTTTCATTTATAATGCCAATATAGAGCTTCAATTTTCTGTTTTTAATTGAAGCTAGAGTTATATTTGGTAAGAAAATTTCACATCGAAATATTATTAAAAAATACTAGGATGAGATTACCTCGAGGATTACCCTAGATAAAATACAAAATACCGACCTAAGTTACGCATTTAAACCCATTATTCATGACTAACTTTATTCCACTGTAGTTGGTGGAAATATATTTTGTTACAAGGAACTTGAAGGTGTATGTAGTGTCAATAAAATTCACATCCATAACATTGTTAGGTTAAATAAAACACGATTAACTTACTTTAGTTACACAAAATAACAAAAAATAAGTCCATAATAGGTCAATTTCTCAGTTTCTTACAAATTCATTTTACTAAAGTTGGTGGAAATATATTTTCTCACAAGAAACTCGAAATACTATTTAGTGTCATTGAGATTTGCTCACGTAATCTTTCATTATAGGTTAAATAAAATATAAAAATGACTGGTTGAATGAAATGATGAAAAGTTGGTAGAAATATATTTTCCTACAGGTAACTTATCAACTTGTATAATTAATTCGATATAATCTGAAGTTGAATATAATTGCCATTTTACCTATGAACGTCAAAAAATGTCTATTGTAATTTCCAAGGAGCAGCAAATAATATCCGAAAATTTGTTCAGTTGCTATGGTATTTGAATTCAGTATGACTAGCTTCAACGAATTATGGAAAAAATATGGATCATTTCATTTAAAAAAAAAACATTCTTCTGAGCCACCATGTGATTTATTGTTATAAATAATAAAGTAACCACAGATTAAAAAAAATCGAAAAAAATTATCCCAGAAAAGTTTTACAATGACCAGAATATGTTGGGAATTACGAGGATAAGGGGGGGGGGGTGACACATTTAAGTGGGATCAATCTGTCAATCTAAGAATATTTTTGTTTAGTGTGTCAACTGTCATTTATCAGTTGTAGCGGGTACAATTCGAAATATCACCATACTACCCCTGCGATCTGATGTAGCCCCTGTTGACGGTACGATGATTATTGAATTATAAGTATTGGAAGTATTATTATAAGCATTAATTAGGTATTATAAGTATTTATTTCACATAGTGAAACCTATTCTCATAGAAAAAGTCGACATTATTGAATTTTCTTTAGGTGTCAAATGAATACTGTTCTCCAAATGTTCTTACTAAAAATATTTAATTTCTCGAAGAAGTTTTCAGGTAAAAGAATTACGGTTACTAGGTACGTATTGTTATGTTAATGTGTATTTTATCCTACTTCGATAAGAATATTGAACAACAATATGAATAGTCAATTAGTTCAACCATTCCAATTCTGTGTGTTATTGTATTTTTCATTAAATTTATAAATAAATATAGATTAATTGTAGACATTACATTATTATTGAATTAATCACATTTAATCTATTTTAATTCTATTTTTTCTTTCATTTATCTTATTTGGCAGACAATGAAGAAACACATAATTCAGAAGCCTTTCAAATTGTATGACTGGCTTGGAAATATTCTTCTTATCTAGCTGAAGAAGGAAGGATTATTTTTTGTCACACTCATTAGGCCAATATCAACTAAAATTCTCATACAGCTCATAAATAAGTAATTTGGCGAGTAATTTGGATACAAATTTAGCTATAACAAGTTGAGCTTCTACAGATTTACCGAAATTTATGTTAATTATTTCTGTGGGATCGAACTCGGTAATCTTTTTTTTGCTTTGTAGATATTTGAAATGCACAGTCAACAGCTAGGGTGACACGAGAGGTGACATCATTTTGGAACTAAAAACTTGGCAAATTGCGACCACTTTCATGTGTTCTAATTTCAAAAAGTTCTATTAGGGATTTTATTTTCATTAAAGATAACAATGAACACACATCTAAAACACACATGTACCGATTTTCATTATTCTGAAATACAGTGTGTTTGAGTCACATATCTTTCTTTTCAATTCAACGCATTCTTGTATAAAATAACGTACAAAAATCATGGAATAAATATGGATAATTACTGTTGGGTGAGAAGAAAAAATCCGATTTGATATTTTGATGACCAATATCTTTTCATGTGGTTTTATCGTAGGTTATTCTAATGCTGATTTAATTAATTGAATCAGAAATCTATCTTCTCGAAATTATGCATTATTCAAGACATGTAATTTCACATTCGATTCATTTTCAATCGAAAATGTGTGAAGGTTCAAATCAAAATTTCGTATATGCTCGCAGGCATAAAAAAGACATTTTTTCCCAGTTTCACCCTGTGTGATATGAACTGTTTTGGCTTCCATTTCGTTTGGGCCAAATACTGCAGTTGGTGTACGAAATTGCATCGACTTCCATTCTACTGCGCCATGTGATGATCATTGTGCTTGGTGCTGAAGTTGTGACAACAACAAAAAAGTTGGAATGTTTGAGGATTAATGATTCACCTAGTGTATTATATCATATTCTCAAAGACGAATTCCTCGACGAATTCAATGATGCAAAGATCCATTATTCCACGCATTTACAGTTAATTTTATAGATAGATCATGAATGTGGATAGTTTACATTGCTTTTATATGCCTGGTGATATCTATCCCCAGTCGTTTTATGGTTTATAAATTCTTCACCCAGTTTCCAACCTCCTCTTCCATATCCCTATCAAAACTATAATTCAAAAGTGAGTCTTTTCATTTTATTGAACCTTCATATATTCTTATTCTTTCACGAATTTTCCTAATTTTTAGAGCCCAGCTGAAATCACACTGACTGCTACTTGAAATCCCTACTCAGCTAATAATCCAACAAAGAGAGCCTATTGCAAATCAAAATGTCCACGTCAGGAGACTTCGGCAACCCCCTCAGAAAATTCAAGTTGGTGTTCCTTGGGGAGCAAAGCGTCGGAAAAACGTCGCTCATAACGAGATTCATGTATGACAGCTTCGACAACACCTACCAAGCTACCATCGGCATCGACTTTCTCTCGAAAACGATGTACCTTGAAGACAGAACCGTCAGGTTGCAGCTGTGGGACACCGCTGGCCAGGAGAGGTTCAGGTAGATAGATGAGTAGATAAACTAGGAAGAGATTATTGGATATAGCCCTCAGAAAGAGTTAATTGCATACAGGTGATTCGGCGAAAGATAGGCAACACTTGGTGGAAGACGACAGAAATCGACGGAGTCAACAGAACAGAAGCCAGCCGCACAATTGTGGTTTTGGTCAGAATACCACAACTCATGTCATCATGGAAGCAGCTATAGAATTAGAATGGAATATAGCTGCCTCAATGGTGACGTTGACGTTATTTGTAGCCCTGAAAATGCAGGTTCTTCTGACCGAAACCACAATTTTGCGGCTGAAATATGGTGAAACCTTAGCAGTGGCACTCGATATCTCCAAGGCATTCGATCGAGTCTCGCACCTTGGATCCCTCGCCAAACTTCCATCTTATGACTTGCCTCCCCAGCTATGTTCTCTGCTAGCTAGTTTTCTCTCAAACAGGTATCTCTTATAAATGCTGGTGTTCCGCAAGGAACGACGAACGAGGAAGAATTGTTGACAACATAAATATGGACTTGGCAACAATTCTCGAATGGGGATCCAATAACTTGGTAGATTTCAATGCAAACAAAAAACAAGCACGCCTTTTCGCTCACTGTGTCAGGAGTAACCATACCTTTGAAGACATCAATTTCAATGCTTGGTATTACTATCAGCAGAACCCTTTCCTGGGAAAATCTCGTGAGATCAATTGCTAACAGTGCATCCCAAAAACATGGTTTTCTGTTTCGGGCCAGGAATAATTTCACTTCCAGTCAGCTGCTTATGATCTATAAGGCACAGATCCGACCTGTCCTGGAATACTGTTCACATATTCGGAGTGTAGCACCCAAACATACCCTGAAACTGTTTGATTCTGTCCAAAAAAGGGCAATTCGTCTCGTGGGTGATGCCTCGCTCACAAACTCACTCACTCATCTGGAACACCGTAAAACAGCTGGCGATCCAGCTCTACTTTATATATATTTTCATGGACGATGCTCTTCTGAAATATCAACAATTGTCCCCGCGAGATTAACCCGTCGAATTGAGGCTTCGCACCCCTTCGTGGTCACTTTGGAGACCTGCAGAACATCTCTTTCCAAAGACTCGTTCATCCAACGAACAGCGAGGCTCTGGAACACATTGCCCGAGGCATATAACCTGAAATTCAAGAACACCAACTCCTACCGTATTTCCCTTGGTTCTCACGATGTTCTCTGAACATTACAGGATATCCCTTTTTGTGGGAACCAGAATGTATAAAAAAAAATTCTGCTTCACATTTACCAGTAAATAGTAGATTTTTATATTGCAAAGTTGTGATATTGCGAATAGTACTTTAACTATTGAAGCGACTTTCTCCTAATTCCATTCTGATATAATTCAGGTCCCTCATACCCTCTTACATCCGCGATTCCACCGTCGCAGTGGTAGTCTACGATATCACCAACGCGAATTCCTTCCACCAGACGTCCAAATGGATAGACGACGTCAGAACGGAGAGGGGCAGCGATGTCATCATAATGCTCGTAGGAAACAAGACGGACTTGTCCGACAAGCGACAGGTCAGTATAGAGGTGAAAAACTATCAATAGTGTCGATAGTGAACTAAAAAAACTCGATAGTATCTATTGAGCTATTGATGGGTATGTATATACTAATGGCTATACTAATTTGAAATATAATTAAATATGATTTTGAGGGAAAATGTTGAAGTTGAAACAATATGAAATATCCTTGGTTCGATCGTTTCAAAATATTCCTCCCAAAGAAGAATTCCATCATGAATTGAACATTATCTCTCAGTTATAAAATATAATCGAAAATAAATTAACACAACTGAATTATACTCCCAAAACCAAGACTCCTTTCTTTTCATCTTTTATTTATTCATTTTCCCACTAAACAATAACTATTGAAACCTTGAACAGAATATTGATTGAAGTTGACGTTGATGGGGATGGGATTTTCATGATATGGGCGTCCATACATTAGTGTAAAGTTTATGCAAAGTCAGTTGAACAAATCCTCAAACGAATGTCGGGTCGCGCGGCCGCACTATTTGAACTTTCAAAGGGACCGACCGCTTGCAGTGATTTGTTTTTCCAACAGACTTTGCATAAACTATACGTAATGTTGGGTGACAAAGCACTCGAGGGCAGTCGAGTAAAAGGTGCAATAACAAAAGGAATATCCACATTTGAATGTTTTATTGACTCATTGCTAACTCGTAGCTAATGCTTACTGCCTATTCGCTCTACTTTTATCTCCATTAATGACTATCACAATCGATAGCCAATTCAAACTATCATTCGCCCTGTGGTGCCTGACCGATGTACCAGTACAGTACAGTACAGTACGTACCAGTATATCACCTGACAAAGCTACTGTGTTAGCGAAACATGTCGTGTGTTTAAGAATTTTGTGGAAATCTTATCATTTGTGAAGTTTTTACATTCAACTTAGATCAGTTTGAATCATTATCACGTGACTGAAGTATGTCCGGAATAACGGCAGCAAATAAATCGCTTTGCCGTGGATTTGACTCAGATTAAGGGGTGGCACAGATAAGGATTTTGCGATCTACCATTCAATAGATATCGAATGGCATTATTCTGATTTCGTTATCAATTCGAAAAGAAACAAAAGTGAATGAAGGTAAAGATCACAAAAATAATAATTACCCAAATCATCCGACGTTGCTACCTCACTGTTGCTACTGTTGCCAGAGATCCTCAAGTTTTTGTAAGTACACTCGTCTTCAAAGGATATGTCGCACATGGACGCTGTCAGTTCTTTTGATTATTGCTGCAATAAGAGCGCTCATACATGTTGTTTCATGTTTCTGGCAATTACTGGTGCCAATTTTATTTTCTTAACCAACTTATTCGAAAAAGTATTGTTTCCATGTTTCCATATTGAGATTGTGTTTCGATCAATGCTATTATAAATGCTATTAAAAAAAATAACAGGGCCAAAACTGGCATCGATAAAATCATCAAAGAAAACCAAGAGCTTGCTACCAATGAAGAAGAAATCGCATTTGAATTCAATAAATACTTTTCGCAAGTAGGAAAAAAACTAGCAGAAAAAATCATCCCAAATAACAATCGCCCAAGAGTATCAATGACAAATCTTCCCAACTCTATATTTTTCGCCGAAACAAATGAACAAGAACTGAGGGATATCATTAGGAATCTGAAAGATAAAAAAGCACCAGGGATTGACAACCTAACTTCAGAAATCCTGAAGATGTTAGTAGATTTCATTCTACACCCTCTTATATTTCTGATAAACCGGTGTTTCGAAACTGGAGATTTTCCTTCTCCTTTCAAAATAGCGATGATCAAGCCAATTCATAAATGGAAACTGTTATGAAAGATCGTATAACAAAATACCTGGACAAATATAAAATTCTCTCAGACAAACAATATGGATTCAGATCAAATATGTCGACACAAGATGCGATTAACCAACTATGTACCAGAATTAGCCAATGTATGGATGAAAAACAACCCGCACTCTGCATATTTGTCGATTTGGCAAAGGCGTCCGACACAGTTTCTCATGAGCAATTGCTAGATATATTGGAGGGTATCGGCTTCAGAGGAATACCCAACAAAATAATGAGAAACTATTTATTGAATAGAAAACAGCTTGTGAAAATCAATAATTCGTCAAGTAATACAGCTACTATTGAATATGGTGTTCCGCAAGGAACTGTTCTGGGACCCGTGCTTTTCAATATATATTTAAATGACCTATTCAAATTAGAGCTGAATGGAGATATAGTTACTTTCGCAGATGACACGGCAATCCTGTTCACCAATAAAGATTGGAATACTTTGAAATATCAGGCAGAAACGGACTTCCAAAAATTAACAGAATGGTTTGACAGTCGATTGCTAACCATCAACTTCGGCAAAACTCATTATATCCCTTTCACATCCTACTCGAACAACTTACCTGAATTTGACTCACTATCTGTACACAGAAATGACACGTTATTGAACATACGGTCAGTTAACTCACTCAAATATCTAGGCATCTTCTTAGATAGTCATCTCAGATGGGATGCTCATATCAATTATGTGACCAAAAAATTAAGGTGCACTCTATATAAATTCAAATGCCTCTCTAAATTATTGAAAATGGAACAATAACGAATTCTATATCATGCTCTGGCAGAAAGTCACCTTTGCTATGGTATCATCGCATGGGGAGCTACGAACAACGTCCATATCAGAAGCCTTGAAGTCATACAAAATTGCATCATAAAAGTCATATATAAAAAGCCTCGGCTTTATTCTTCTGATCTGCTGTACTTAGAAACAGCATTCATGGACTTGAGACAGTTGTACTTTCTAACTATAGTAGTAAGGCAACACAAATATAAATCGGACCTCATAGCTATATCGCATGACTATGATAAACGCACATAAACTAGGTTCAATAAAGTACCGAGATCAAAAAAAAAATATATTACAAAAGTCCTATTTCTACTTAGGTCCCAGACTATTCAATGAATTGCCATTGCAGCTGAGGAACCTTCATTCAAATTCACAATTCAAAATTAGAATAAAAAAGTGGATGAAAGAAAAGCCAAGAATAGAAATTCATCAACTGATCCACAGTAGTAATACATCATAACACATACCAAAACACATAATACATAGCATAATAAAACACATAATCTCAAGCTGACACTGTGATTCAATCCAGCTCATCAAGAATGATTCTTACGCGGGCTGACTTTTATTTGGAATTTGAAATTTCATTAATGATAATTGTATGCATCCTTTAAATCATTCCTTCACTTCATCTTTCATTTCATATAACCTGTTTTAACTATGAAACATATAAATTATTAGTCTTAGGTCACCATGTTAACTGTATTGGCATATAGGTAGGGAATTATATATTAAAAGTAACCCCAAACATACACGTATCAGACGTCATGAATTTAGAACCACTTTCAAGGTCTACCTTTAGTGGCATCCAAATTTATTTACCGTCTCTCTTAATATACCTATGTATCAAAATTTTGTGATAATTTTTGTCTATGGAAATTTTTTGTACATTGCCCATATTATATTCTGGTAAATAAATTATTATTATTATTATTATTATTATTATTATAACATCGAGATCCCAAGTGGGAGGCCCCGTGAGATATTTCTCACCACCTCACCGGGCCAGTCCGGCACTGGGTAGAGGGGATAGACTACCGATGAGATAGACTAGGCCCTGATTTCCCTCGATGATAATGATAATACTATCGATTGTTCGTCACCTGTAGGTCAGCACCGAGGAGGGCGAGCGGAAAGCCAAGGAGCTGAACGTGATGTTCATCGAGACCAGCGCCAAGGCCGGCTACAACGTGAAGCAGCTGTTCAGGCGCGTGGCTGCCGCCCTGCCCGGCATGGACTCCACGGAGAACAAGCCGCCCGAGGACATGCAAGAGGTGGTGTTGAAGGACACGCCCAGCGAGCTCAAGGACCCCGACGGCGGTTGCGCCTGTTGATCGGCCTGCGCCGCATCAGCCACCTTCGTGCTTGATCGCATAGGTGCCGACTTTACGAAGGCGCTCGAGCATCGGCTTGCCTCACGATCGGTGGGATTCTACAGCTCTTGACCAAGTACACCAGGCTCGATAACTTTTTAAACCGAAAAAAATTATAGTTGAACGAAAAGCATTGAAGAAGGAAGATAATAATAGCAAAAATTGAAGGAAATAGTAATTTTCCTAACAAGTTCGGAAAGTGATTCTTTCCCGCACGTGACTGCCGTTGACACGAACGACGCGAAGCGGAGTTCGGGCAAGCAGTCGAGTGCGGGAAAGAAACTTTCCGCATGAGTTAGGAACAATATTTTTTCTACAAGCGTATATAGGAAATTGATTGAATCGTTCAATTAATTATTCAAGCAAATAGGAACAACTAACAAGAGATATATATTCTCTATCTATTAATTATTAGTAATAGCTATTGTGAACTTACAGTTTGACGCATTATGTTGGTTCATTGCGGAAGCCAGCAGGCCCATTAGGAGTTTGGTCTCTAGGTTCCAAACACTTCTATGAAATGAGCCAAAAATACCTATTCTTCATTCGGTTTTTTCATTTTTTTATTGTTGCACCATTCAATAGAACGCGTGTATAGCTTCTCATACCTTTCTTAAGACTTCGTTGGTGATAACGCATCTGTATCAAATTCCTATAGCTAGAAGTTTTTGATCACATTGTGGCATTTCCACTGAACCGAAAATGACAGTAACGCTGTGTCTGTCACTTCGACAATTTCAAACTCATTTGAGGTTTGATTGGCATGACAAATTGACGTTTCCCGTCAGATCAATCCAAATCTATAGGGGGATTTTTATAATAATCAATTTTTATTTCTCAATATTTCTAAATTTTTACAATAAATAGTGCAATTTGATGAATGGTTCTGAACATACATACTTAATACTGCAACAAACAAACTTAAACTTTTATACTCCATCACCAACCACTTACATTACTAGTGATTTTATCATATCTTTGTTTTCCCGCACTAGTGCGGGAAAAAATTTCCCGCACTAGTGTGGGAAAATTTTCCAGCACTGTTGCGGGAAAATGACACTTCCCAAACTAAATTGCGTGCGGGTATAGGGTGAATCACGCACGCTTGTAGAAAAAATAAATTACGGTCGATCAGAGGTCGAGAAGTGGAAGGGGGTGAGCTTTTGAGGATAAAAAACGATTTCTGGCACAAGTACAATTCCTATAGAAAAAAGTTGAATGGCAAAGTTGTAGGCAATAAAAAGATCTATATTTATGTGAAAAATTAAAATAACCAAGATCATGGTTTTTGTTTTTATCTTGGAAAAAATGTTTCACGAAATTTTGTGAAAACTTACCTTTCAATGTCCCAAAAACACACTGAGATTTTTTTGATTTGAAATATTCTTTTTTTCGCCTCATTTTGACTTGATATCGAAGAAGCACCAGTAAGGACCAGTTCTCCTAGCCCCTTCCCCACTTCTCTATGAAATACCTTTTGATCACTCAGGTATATTATACGTAATCTTAAAATAGCAATAAATAGGCATATAATTTTAAGTAGATTATACTACTTCCCAAAATATTGAAGTGTGTGTCTTATGAAATATGAAATAATCACTTGTTGTTCTGTCAGCATATTTCTGAGAACATTTACCCTAGTAATGTATATATTTTTTACACCATAAAACAGTAGAGATTTTAACAAACAAAGAGCCCATTGAGTTTTTTGAAAAATCTGATATTTTGACATGAGAATTTCGAATTGATTAGGGTGCTTTTTCGATATTAAGTCAAAGGAAGGTGAAAAAATTAATATTCCGAATCAAAAAAATTACAGTATATTTGGAATATAAAGAGGTAACTTTTCACCGAATTTCGTGCGAACAGGTTTTCTTTTGTGAAAGATAAAAATAAAAAACCAATAACTTGATTATTTGAATTTTTCACAGAAATTTTGAGGTTATGTGAAAAAAGTGTAGATATAAAAGTTAGAGATCTTTTTATTACCTATAACTTTGCTATTTAACTTTTTTCCATAGAGTTTGTAGCTTTGCCGGAAATCGATATAAACCGTTTTTTACCCCCGTCCACAGATCGCCCGTAATTGATTTCCCCTGTCATCTTTGTTATATTCTCTTTCATTTCCAATGGGTTTCCACTTTTTACCGTTTTCAAAAGCTACAGCACTGGTCTAAAGTTATCTGGTGGTTTGTGTGATCATTGTCGATCTAAATGAAAAAGCAAGTAGGCAAGGAGGTATAATCACTGTTGACACCATCGATGCTCGTCACCCCGTTTTGTTTACTGCGCAACAATAATTTCATGCCATGCGCACCAGGTTGCCTATTTTATCGTGATTTCAGATATTAATCATTAGAATCCGTCTTCTGGGACTCATAAGTATCGGATTATTTAGTTGATGAAACGAAAATAAATTGCAACCAACAGAAATAATAAATCTGAGAACTAACAGTCAGGTTCCTATTCTATCCCATAAAAATCACTCATTACCTTTATTACCATATCAAGTAACATCTTTGGTTAGATACAGTTTGGAAAAATATGAAAAAAGACAACTGCAACCTATAATACTGCGTCACCGAAAAAATATAGCATTGAAACATTGAAACAAATGGGTTATGGACAAAATTACTTTTTGAGTGACAATTTGATTCATTTATGAAAAAATCCCATAAGCAGCTGTGATTTTGTCATTTTGATAGCGAAAAAAATGCCCTACGTTTTCCAACAACAAAACGGAACTGTGATGACGTTTATGTCAATTTTTCTCAATTTTCTGCATTTTCAGAAAAGTGGAAAATTTTAAAAATCCATCAACAATAAGGTGATTCTCACTTTCTTCAAATTGTTTTACTGAATTACACTGGAGCATTTTTTTATCCAAGTAAACTCAACATTTATAATTCAAGTTTTGTTGCCCTCAGGAAATTAAACTCAAAAAACTGCCAGGAAAAAATGCTGGACCTACGGACTCGTAATTATTTCAAAGGCAATTTCTTCCGTTTGATTACCAGACAATAAAGATCTCACTTTTACAAGGAATGTTCTCTTGTAATTGAAAGTGGAAATATTTGTTTATACAGGGTGATTCACATAACAACCGACATAGGCAGGGGCATGTAGGGGGTCCCAAAATATGGCAATTTAACGCAACTTACCTCTATACCAAGTTTCTTCCCTAAGGAGTTATAGGCGTAGCACTAACAGTACGTCAACTTGCTCGTTAAAAGAAAACTTCCCGTTCATTTTAAAAACACTCAAACAACAATTACTTAATTGAACAACTCACTTGCCTCATTGTCAAGTTTGACGTTTATTTTCATAGCCAACTTTCGAATTTTCGATGATTTTAAATAACACACCTACAGCGCGCGTTTTCAGTTATTCGAGTTTTTGATGAAAATGATGAGGTTTTTCGAAAAATTACTAGAGTAAGAAAAGTTTTAGAATTGAATTGCCCACAAAACAAAGCGAAGATTTTTGAAATCCATCAAGGGTTAACAAAATTATGTTGAATATTGATGGTGCGCCATCCGGTATACCCCCTTTACAAATTTCAATTAAACTCTAGTTACTGTCAAGTAACGCCTTAAATACATCCACGAAGTGTTACAAATTTGGTTGCTTTAAGTTCAAGAATAACGAAGATATTGATTTTTTTCAAAATTTATATCTTCACTTTCAGAGCCTATATCTCCTTAGGGAAGCAACTTGGTATAGAGGTAAGTTGCGTTTAATTGCTATATTTTGGGCCCCCCTACATGCCCCTGCTCTATGTCGGTTCTTATGTGAATCACCCTGTATAACAACTAGTGCCAAGTTATAAATTGTAACTTTTTAGTTGGTCTATACAAATAACCGCCGGATTCATATGACTTTGATGACTAGTTGATACTAGAAAACTCCTAATATCAAACTTGTTTGCCTACTAGCATCAATTTCGATTGACAATGGTATGATTGTATTTCTCTGAATGCATCAAGATAGATGGTAGGCCCTGATTGGACTTCTACAATGAAGGGCACTCTCAGGATGACAATAAAATTGCTAAACACCTTAAAATCCTTAAAATGAAGTCAATAATAGCCAAGGATCAAACCTATTTTCATATTTTAATATTTTGACGAATATAGGACATGCCCTGTGCTGTTGATTCTATTTTCAATTGTAAATCGATTGAGAGGGTGATTCAATGTTTTTCTGAAGAAACGAAGTGAGCTGTAGAAATACTAATGACACACTAGTTTATATACTTACAAATGAGGTTTGTTGTGTGGTGTTTTCACCATTATTATCTTGAAAAGTAAATGTCACAATGTCTTTGGATATGAACCATTATTTCTTAATAATACCAGAAATGTATATCTGAAAGGTAAGAACATTTCAAACATATTGGACCATAAACAGGTTGTAAATTAATTGATGGCAAAAAATATAGGTTATGGTTCCTTGACTCATTAAAAAAAAAGTTGAAATGAACATTTGCCCTAAACCTCTCAACTTTCGAGCTATAGGGTTTCGAATTTTTTTTATGGATATAAGAAACTTTCACAATGTGAAAAGCTAATCGATCAAATGTTATTATTATAAATACAAAACACATGGAAATGGATCTTATTTTTTTCAGCGAAAATGGTACGTAGACCGAAAAAAAATCATGGGGTCAAATTGTTTCAAAATAAGTGAGGAATATAAATATGATTTTTATTTTCGGAAAAAGCAAGGGCGTACAATATTTTTTTAGAAAAATCTCCAGTATACATCCCATATGGACGCTACAGATAGAAATATTGTAAAATCTCCAGCATCAAATATCTAGAACATTTTGAAAAATTAAAAATTCCAACACACTATAGCCCGAAAGTTTAGAGGTTTTAAGGCATATTATGTTCATCATATGAACTTCTTAAAATGAGCTTAGGAACCATACCTTATATTTTCAGCCATCAATTGAATCACACCCTGTATACTATTATACAAAGTAGTACGAATTTTCAGATA